AACCTTGCCAATTCATGTAATATATCGCTCATGTATGATTAAGACACATCATATTCATATTCAAGCCGCTATGCTCGCGTTTAAATGTCAATCAAATGTTTTAATGATTCCGTCGTGATGATGGAGGGAAGGGAAGGGATGGACACTTGTTTGATGGCTGAATTTGATATGAACTTTAATGAAAATATTGAATTTTCCCTGTAGGATGTTTTGGGAATGGGAGGAGAAGTTCAGAAGCTAGACTTAAATAAATAGAAGAAGCTAAAGTCATCGACAAGCTTCAAAAACTTATCTTTAGTTAAAAATTTCAATTTGAACCTCTTCCACGAATTTTTAACTACATTCTCAGCTAGACCCAACATAAAGTGTCCCACCCTTGCCAAAAACTTATTGTTTTTTCTATTGCAAATCCCGCAAAATGTATGCACAAGTCAAAAAGTAAGCAATAGAGCTAGTGAGAAGGAGATGAAATTATGACGGCAATTACTGGCATTTGAGTGCTTCAAATTAGGCTTTTAAATTATTCTTACGATCGTAATAATGTCGGTGACATGAGGCGTTTATATTTCATCGTACGCATACTTTACCAATATTTCTGGGAAATAAGAAATCATTATTATTGGCATTACAACACATTTTATATACTTGAGAAATGAAAAATTCCATTTAAAGAATTCTCAATAACCATTTTAATAAAGAGAAATATTTCAATTGAATTGCTTTTCACCATTGCATTGTAGACATTGACTTTATTTTGTCGCTACTTACAATTTCCCTCTTATTTGTTTAATTTTTGACAAATGTAAATAAACTACACACAAAAGAGAAGAATGAAACTGAAAATTAACCGCCGTGCAAGAAAAATCTTTTGTATAAATAAGCACACGAGACAAGAAGTCAATGAATTGAGAAATGTAATGTAAACCATGCAAAAGTCACGCAAAATCATTTACTCGCATCTTGATTATGCTTGATTTTTTTTTTATTCACTTTTATTCAATTCATAAAAGGAAAATTACATTTTGGAATGGCAATAAATTTGTGTAATTTTATTAAAATTTTTTGAATGATTTTTTAAGAAGATTTCTATTGGATCTTTTTTTGAGTTGGCATTTAAGATGGGATTTTTTTGGGTTATGAAATTTTGAAGCTTTTTGTGTCAGTTTTGATTTTTATCTATTAATAAGATTTTTGATGTGATCTTTATCAAATGTTTGAAGGTGAAATTTATGAAAGATTTATCGGCTATGATTTTATGTTTGCAGTTAATTTTTTGGATAAATGAAGAATCTGGTTGATTTTAGTTTCAATTTTGAAATATCGCATCTTTTTTGAATCATGCAAATCTTTGCGTCTCCTAGTGTTGAAAAGATGCACAAGATTGCATCACTTCTTTTTGATTGAATAAGTTTTGCTTCTCAAAGATGTAGTGTTCAAAATGATTGTTGATGATTCAACAAAGATGCAAAAAATGAAGTGAAACATTCAAAAAATCTGTTATTTAATTTTGCATCATTTTTAAAATTTACTTTTGAAAAATTTCCCTTATTTTATTTAAAAATTTAAAAATCCTCGAATAATCTTCATAAAAAATTCAATGATGCTGAACTTACATATGATTTCCAAAAAAAAGGCGAGGTTCTTCATCTCTTAATTCCAAGAAATTCATTGCTGCTTAAAACTTCAGTAAAACTCACAAGAAAATCAAAAATAACATTTTAACTTCCAAAAAAATTTCAAAAAGTACCCAACATTCCAAAGCATTCAATTAAAGCTCTCATACCCGTCGAAAAATTTCTCATAAACAATTTCGTCTATAAGAAAAATAAAACTATATTTACTCAATTTTAAAAATTATTCACAAAATATCCCACAATTCTTTTTGATCTCTTGCGGTTACATGATCATAAATTGGATAAAATTAAAAGATTATGATGCAAGTTTTATGCGAAATACATCCAGTCCTCCCATTTTCTCTGTATTTACTTATTTTGAGCAGCTTTAGCACGTTCATTGCTTTATATTTTAATTCTTCCATATTTCATCTCTTTATATTACAATTTAAGTCAATTTTAAATCGATTTATATCTCCAGACGATGATATTTTCTCTTGTTTGTGGATATGTGGATATAAATGAGATTGCCGGTTAATTGAAATATATTGTATGGTCGGAAACGACTTGTAAGATGACGATGCATAGATAAACATGAGCTTAAAATATGTTTTTCCTCCTCTTCTTATTCTTTTTTGACCTGCATTACAATGCCAATCAATGATCATCTCCGTTGGCTTTTTATTGATCCGACATTTCACTCCTGTAAAGATATAAATCGAATGTAACGTATTAAATAAACCGTATAATAACGAAGCAGACAGACAATTTTTATTTTAAATTGTGAGAAATAGTCGTCATAATATCAAGTGGGATGTGGTGTTGCTTGATGATTGCATATATAAAGATTCATTAATGATGCTTCAGCGATAAATCATATTTATGTGAAAATTGTACACTGCAGCATGACATCTTCTTTCAGTCTGTACAAATTTACTCGACAATTTAAAATGAGGCACATTTGGACAAGAAGTGTAAAAGGGAATCAACTGATTTCTTAAAAATTGATGCTTGAATGTCATTCATAATTGTAATTAATTAAGCAACGAATCTCTTTTTCTTCGATTGTGTAATCCTTCTGGCTATTGTGTGATCATGTAATTTTGTCATTAAAGTTGTTGAGTAATTACATGTGAAATTATTAAGGACTGGAAAGGTGAAAAAAACGTGTGGCTGTAGGGATTCTTTTGTGTCGACGCATTTTGTGGGGTTCTGCCTTTTAAAGTCTAGACAAAATCTTGCAAACAGTATTTTTAGGATGCCGATAGCCTACATGAAATTAAACAATAACTTACAACATAATGGTAATCATTATATCTTTGACATGTCCATAATCACGAGGATCATGTTGTAAATCCAATGTCCTTGCAATTCTTTCTCCATCATATTCCAGAATACAGCTTTTATGGCTATTATGTCTTGTTAAAACAGTTTATGGACACATCAATACGAGTATTAAGTATCCAATTTAAATCTCGTGCAGATAGGCTGTCTATAAATTGATTTGGAAATGCACAGACTAGCTTGAGAAGTAAAGCAAGAGAAATATCCTTTAAAATAATTTCATGACTTTCAAGAGTCGTTCACATGCTAAATTGGTACCTAATTATGTTTTAAACTAGTTGTACATTAGCTTCACACTAGCTTTGCATTATCTTTAAACTGTTTTCTAGTTTGACACTAGCTTGACGCTAACCTGAATGGCACAAGTCAGTTAATCGATCGGAAATTTGACACTCAGTTGGTGTGACACTGGCATGGTGTTGGATTTAAATCGAAGCCAGAATCAAGCCAAAGTCATGCCGACTTGTGCTTTTCGGGTAATTGACACTAGCTTTTCACTGACTCCTTATTTGATTCATACTTGCTTTCCACTTGTTTAATACTTGCTTCACACTAGCTTTATACTAGCTAGGGTTTCTGAAGCCGTTAACGAAAAACGGAAAACGGCCGTTAACGGCACAAAAATTGAAAACGGAAAACGGCCGTTTTTCATTCCGTTTTTCCGTTTTCTCATAGTTCATACAATGTAATTTTAAAAATTTTTTTTGTTTATTTCTTTTAAAAATTATTCTCAAAAACAGTTAAAAGTTTTTGCAATTGAGATTTATTATTATGGATTGCCTGGAAAGTTTGAAAATCTCATTTCAAGTAGTATATTAGAATCAGAAATGTAATCATAGTTGCGAGTCCAGTTTTGTTTGTTGTTTAAATACAACAAATCAAAATCTGAACTCAAGAATTTACAACGGGTTTTTCATATTTGATTTTTATCAATTTTTATGAAAAATACAGGAAATCGATCGGAAAATCTTCAAAAACTTTATGATGCTTTGTTGTGTATTAAGCCGACTATTACAGATGTGGAGCGAATATTTTCAATCTGCAATAATTTTTGCACAAAGATTCGTTCAAGGCTGGCTGATGCATCACTAAATGCTCTTGTTTTTCTTAAGTTCTATTATAATAAAATGAATAAATAGTTATAATAAATATAAATAGAACTTAAGACTTTCTACATATTATCTATATAGAACAGCAATTCTTTATCTTTTGAGGAATATTTCATTTATATTTGGGTATTTAAAAAACTTAAAACGGCCCGTTAACGGCCGTTTTTGAAAATAAAAAACGGAAAACGGCCGTTTTCGAAAATGCCGTTTTTCAGAAACCCTAATACTAGCTTCAAACTAACTTCGTACAAGATTCATACCAGCTTCACACCAGCTTCAAACTAGCTTCAAACTAGCTTAACCTTAAGATGCGTCGTTTTAGAAATATTAAGCATAAAACTGGAAAGAAACAGTCATCATTTCATCTCAGTCGAATCCCAAGATATAGCCACTCAATAACCATCAAAATGTACAATTGTAACCTCCAATTCCATTGAAATGATTGTCTCCTTTTTAATTGATAATGATTTCTTCTCATGTCACTCGTACAAGCAATTTCATTTCACGCTTAAATACATTCCCGATAATTCGTTTTTCTGCCTTAATGTGCTTTAAATTCTACAATAGTACAATGTAGGTACAATGTGCAAATTGATATGCAGAAAGATTTATTATTGCATTAAAAAAGGTAGTGGGGAGAGGAAATAAATTGACTTTATGGAATATTTTCACATAACATATCACCATATACACAACACCACAACCTGCCTCTATTTTTGTACAAAACAAAATTAAATTGAATGAATTAAAAGTGTGTCATGGAATTTTTTTTTCTGTTGCCTGCCTTTTGAATTCTTGACTGAAGATATTATTTTTCCTCTCTTTGCGTTTATCTCTTATTTTTTGCGGTAAGACAATGCAATAGGTGCTGTTATATATGCTGCAATTGTTACTGATGTATGCATGAATATTTGCTGCATATTGTATGCAAATGATGTGTCTTGTATCTATGCGAAAGCAATAAAATTAGAAAATTTATTAATCTAATGTTTTATTTTGTGTATTTTTTTGAATAGATTTCACAAATGCACAGACAAGGCGGAACCAGAGTCCACGAGCGGGACCAACAGGAAGAGCACTTGGCTTAAATCCCAAAGGAACATCATCTTCATCATCAGAATTTCAATGTCCAGAAGAATTTGGATATTTCCCACATCCATCCGATTGTAGTCTTTATTATGTGTGCGTATTCGGTGGTGCATTACAAGAAAGTTGTACCGGTGGATTAATGTACAGTCATGAGCTTCAAACATGCGACTGGCCACGTAATGTTGGATGTGAAGCATCCGAAGTTAGTAAACCAGCACCAGCACCAGCTCGTGAGGTGAGTCCACGAGTTCCACAAGTTTCAAGTCGAGTACGCTTTTCATCATTAAATGTTGAACAAACAGCACCATCTGGTCCATCGGGTCCATCGGGCCCATCAGCTCCATCAGCACCAGCACATATTCAACAGATCCAAACATTGCCACCACCACCAAATCAACAAAGAATTTCACCAAAACCTGTGATCACGTCGAGAGGACAGCCACCTAGTTTTACACAAGATGAGATTTTAAAGGTACTAAATTTTATGGCTTAATTAAGAAATTGGAGGTTATTAGGGTGTGCCAACAAGCTATTAAAGTTATTGAGTGAAATCTACTGAACCAGTAGCTCATGTTGTCGTTCATTAATTTCTGCAAATTAGCTGACAATACCAGCAGAATTTGCCTATCAATATCCGAAACTCATATTTTTAATTTTGACAACTGATGTCATTGCCAATAGCTAACCCTGATATTTTCACGTAGTTTAATCTTAATTTTATTAGTTGTACGCAGTTTCATTTCCAGTTTGCTTATCTTAACTCAAAATTGTTGATTTATAGTCTATACTAGTTCCTTTATCTCACATTATTCTATGCTTTAAAATTCTTTAGCAGCTTTACGAAGAAACACACGACACACTTCCACCAGCTGAGGAGGAAGAAACCGATAGAAATCAACGTGTGTACAGAGGTCAACCAAGTACAGTGACACAAGTTCAAAGAGATCGTGATGGTATCATTCATCAACCCAGTCACAATGCAATTCCCACACAAAATAAAGTTGGATCTTTTTCATTTACAAATTCACAAATTCCAACATTTACAAGGTAGGTTTTTATGTCTGTGCTATTTTTTTTTTATTTTATTATTTTATTCTTTGTAAGTTTTTAAATCATCAGATTAAGTTCGTTTGTTTGTTGTTGATTGAAATTCGTACACAACAAAATAAGAAGCATTATTCCATTAAGCTTTTTGGTCTTTTGCTTATGACGTCTATCACTTAAGAATTCGGGAGAGGGGGGGGGGGGGGGGGGTTCAAAAATTTCAAAATTTCGTTTGACAAGGGAGAGCGGGGACTATAAATAAATCTTTTTTCTGTACGTCATTAGCGAATGAACCCCTTTTCGGCAAAAAAAATAAACAAACAATGAATGAATGAGTAGTAACAAAATAATAGTAAAATTATAATAAAAAGTTGACTTATTGTATCTCTATTGCACTAACCCATCATAGTGAAGACGAATTACAAGACCTTGACATTACAAAACATAAAGTTTTGGACCGTAAACGACGCGACCTTTCATCTCTTACTGACAGTAATGAAGAATCAAATATTAAGACTGAGCATTTAGAAAATGAGTCAGAAACAGAGACTGACAGTACTAAACGTATAGAGAAAAGATCAAATGACGATGAGACACATGTGTCGAGTTTAGATGAAGTGTCTGAAATTTTAGAAGGCTCTGAGAATAGCGACGATGTACAGAGACGAACACGTCAATTAAGACCGTCGATAATAAGTAGCCCGTGGAGAATTTCAAACGGCAGAGCCGTGAATTTTTCGCCATCAAATCAAAACTCTTATGGATCAAGTTTCAGTGGATTCCCAAGTGCACAATCTGGATTTTTATATAAAAGTGATGGTCGATTTTACCCGACAAATCCATATAAGACTTCTTCAGATGATTTTAGGCCTGTGATTAGTACATATAGTGGAAATAATAATAAAAATAAGTATAATTTTCAATCATTTGGAAGCAATAGTGGATCAAGTAGTGGTTATGCATATGAATCGTCAGACAGAGATCAGGAAGCGACACCAAAATACAAACAATCATCAAAAATTCCATCTCAGTCATCTGCTTTATTGCCACTGATTTATTCACTCGAGTCATTTGAGCCAAAGGCTAAACAAACCACGACACCACCTCCCATTGAGTCACAAGATAATTATTCTTACTTTCATCTTGGCAAAGGCTCCTCATCGCAAACACAACATCATCAACAGCAGCAGCAGCATCAGTATCAAGACAAGGTGAAAACCTATGCCTTTCCCATCACTAATCAACAGCCACAGCAGACAACAACACAAAGATCATTCGTTTCATTTAACTCCGTTGGTGGCTTTTTTAATAATAATCAACAGCAGTCGAATCAAGGATTTTTGCCTATACAGAGTAGCAGCAGCAGTGGCAGTAGTAAAAATAATAATAACAACAATAGCAATAAAGTAACACCAGCACCGATATATGAAGGAATAAAATCAGCATCGTCATATGATAGCCGCTATACATCACCAGCACCAATAAAGAAATCACAATCCACACCGCAATATTCATCAAATGGATTTCTCAATAATTTAAATTTTAATAAAAATGCAGCGACTGTTTTCAATTTTGGCATTGACAGTGCGAAAGAACGAGAGAAGCAGCGTGAAGAGAAAGTGATTGAAATAACAACAAAGAAGCAGAGCTATAAACAGCAACAATATCCAATACCAACAAGCACACCGAAATATATTCAATCGTACACGACACCTAATCAATTGTTTGATGTTGATAAATTCATAGCTGAATTGAGAGAGACGCAAAGATTGCAAAATGTGAAAAATATTGGAGGTAATCTATCACCACACAATATACAGCAACAGCATTCAATATACAAAATCAATAATAATAAAACACAATCGCTTTTATTGAATAAGACACCGAATATAAGATATCAATATTTTACAAGTCCATCACCATCGTCCACGACTGCTTCGCCAGATGAATATTATTACGATGACGAAGATGAGGAAGTTGAGCACACATATGATAATGGTGCTAATTTATCAAAACTTAAAGTTCAAAGTGACAAGGTTAACAGCAATAAAGATAATTATAATAGCCATACGCTTAATAAGAAGCCTAATTTGATTACTTCAAATGCAGCTGCATATGATGATGACGAATATTATGAAGACTATGAGGATGAGGAAGAAGAATTTAAGTTCTTACCGCCTCCTGTAAATAAACCAAAATATACACCAATGACTGAGACTATGGCACCACGTCCTATAAATGTCACTACACTCCGACCATACTATGTTAGTGGACAGACATTCAGCACACCATCACCAATCTCCAGCACAATTCCGTCAATAATTAAATTTCCAGATGATGTGTTTCAAGCTATTCGTCCATTCACGAGTCTCTCGCCGAAAATCTATTCAAATGGCAATAATGCTAATAAAATTATAAAAACGAATCATCTCTCGGGCAGCTACGACTTTACGAAAGGCACAACAACAACACAGATTCCACACTCGACTACAAAATTGACAACAAAAGCTCCAAAAACGACAACAACAACTGAACGGACCACAACAAAAAAGACAAAACTTAAAATTATTACAAAAGCAACGACAGCTGGTAAAAAACAGCAAGTGACAAGTACTACAGTAAAGCCTACTAGGACGGCAGTGACAACTACTAGACGAAAACTTTATACGAGTAAAGCAAATAATAGGGGAAATTTAAGATTCAAGCCATCAACGAAACGACCTGACTTGACTAGACTTGAAATTGACGAAAAATTACCCAACAGGTAAATTAATTGATTCCAGTTACTTTATGTGGCTTACAAAATATTATTTTATGTCGTGGTTGGGCATTAATAATGTGTACATATCGGTATTTTATTAATAATTTATACTTATTAGAAATGATACAGCATAGATTGAAAATTGACAAGAAATTAATGCCTTTTTTTTCATATATTTTGTGTCAATAATTTAAACAGAGTTGAGCAATCGTCGCCTGCTCCTTCAGCATTCAACATTCCATCGAAAACGCAAATCACCCAAAACAAAAATTATTACAACACAAGCAATTACAATACCAATTTTGATCCATTTTATCCATCATATGATGACGGTGTAGATATTTACTCCGATGTCGGTAAGAAAAATCAATTTTTTATTTTGTTGATCTTACGACACACGCATCTGTTTATGAGCTGAATGATTAATTATTGATCCTGTTTTATATTTGCCGCTAGATTACTCAAATATTTATAATCAACCAAAATCAACGCCATCATCGACATACCGTCCAACAACAACACAATCGCCACAAACATTTGCAACAAGACCGCAAACTCAATCAACGACTTATTTAACGCAAACTCAAGCACCACCAAAACAAAAGTATAATCAACAGAATATTTATTCATCGGCTGATTATGACGATGGTTTAAATGCTCAGGTTTGTAGCTTGTTCAGTCATTTAGGTTCTTTGATTTTTCGAAGGGTTTTTGGATAGTTTTTAAGGTTCAGTCTTTGGATAATGTTGAATTAATCAGCCAGGGCATCATAGGCTAGTTCATTTTGATTTAGTGCCATTATAAAAGCTCAAAAAATCATCAATATATCAAAGTTCAAGACACACTCAACCTGAACAGCTACTGTTAGCTCTCTTTTCGGGTTCCGGCTCTTTCAATCTTCAAACTTATTATTTTTAAAGTCACTCACTTGAATTTCATAAAAAAAAGTCACTCAAAAGTCACTCAATCATCGAGATTAAGCAACTTTAACAAGCACTTCATTAAAATGCACAAATAAATTTTTATCAATTTTATGAGTGACAATTAGTGGCGATAAAAAGTGTTAAACACAAATACGAATGTGCAGAATGAAATATTCTGACTTGACATCACATAAATTATTTAGCAAGCTCATAAAATCAAAAGATTTCTTAATTCAGGTTGCATAATCTACCTGAAATCGTGATGGTTCTGAAATGTATTTTTTTATTTTGATGTAGAGTTATTAATCGGGTTAGATTAGCATCCATTAGAATTATCCAGTCATTACTCAGCGATAAGCTATCCTAAGCTTAAACTGTAGGCATAGCTAAGAAGAGGGTTTCAATAAGGTTCGAATCCCATTGAAAATTTGCCTGACTACGCTTCTGATGGCTACTAAAGCTCTAAATCAGAGCTCGAAGTCGATAAAATTTTGTAATGCAAAATCGATGAAAATTCGAGTCAACTTCGAGCTCTGCTCTAAATGGAAATCTTATTAACGCACACCCAATAAACTTTATTGCACTTGTCATCTTTCCACCTTTGATAGCGGCATTAGACATTTGAGCTATTAATTCAGCAAATAAAGTTATTTTTGGAATAGAAAAAATGTGTTAATATATCAGCTTTAAGAAGATCATAAAGCATTTCAAAGTCATAAAGATCCGCAAAGTTTTTTTTTTAAACTAAAATGCCGCCAAAAAATTTACACTTTATCGCAAAATCATCACAGACAGATAATCTTTCATGGCTGCATACCTAATTTTCCGTGATGTAGTTTAAATTGTAAGAAGCTAATCCCGTATGTTTTTTGAGGCAACTACTGGTTAATAAATGTATAGTCATTAGTTATTTTCTCTTACTGAATTATATTTACTAAAGCTTAACATTGATTAATTGTAGACGAAATTAAAATGTAAACTATTTTTTTCCCCATTCACAAAAATTTTCAGTTGGAAGAAAGTGAACGATATGGACAGCAAGAGGAGGATTCATCAAATTTCAGGTAAGTCGATTTCCTTACATGGTTCGCTTTAAATGCCATTGTCTTTCCTTCTATCTCTCAGCATGTCTAAATATTCATTTATTATACATAATATTTTTTTTGTCTTTATCTCCTCATTGTGTTTATCCATATTTATGCATAACATAATCATGTGTTTTACCTTTTTTTCTCATACAATAAGTAATTTTGAAATTTCTTTTAAATTAACCATTTTACTTATTGGCATTAATGAGTTTGACCATTAATATCATACCTAATTTATATTTTTTGAGAGAGTGAAAATTAACTTTAATTGTATTTTTTGATATCCAGCATTATCATAAGTTTTATGTGTGTTAACTAATTACCCCTATTACTATTCTACCATGTGTGATATGAACTCTATTTTTAATTCGTTAATGTTTTTCTTCTATTTCTTCTCCTTTCTATCCAACTAATTGCTTTTAACAAATTTGGTCAAATTTGTGTGAATATAAAAACAAAATAATTTAAAAATAAGGGGAGACAGAAACGAATTGAGTCCTACATTCGATCGTAAATTACCAAAAGTACAGTCACCATCGTCCTTTTCTAATGGACAAAAATATTCATCTGTACCGGCTATTGTGAAACTTTCAACACCCGAACCATTTTCCTATAAACCAACTGTACCCGTAACCCAACGTTACTCCACTTCTCGGTCATACTCATCAACTAAATTCCCACAAACTTTCCCAACCACATCTTCTTCTACAACCACTACAACTCAAAGAACCACTACTACTCAGGAGCCTCCTCAGTATTATCCGACAAGGTATTTTCTAATTTTTTTCAACTCAATAGCCTCAGTGTCTTAACTGAGGTTTGTAGTATCACTAGAACATTATTTATTGCTTCATTTGCCATTCGTAGAAAACTGACATTTTTTTTCTATTAACTCATTTTTATGCTATTTGCTGACTTTGCTATTGCTTGACATTAAAACAAATGATGCTGAAAATTTTCAATTTAATGCACATTATATCTTTTTGTTGTTGTTGATTAACCTGCTTGAAACTAAACAATAAAACAAACAAAAAAAATATCATATACACATATTGCTGTAGATGAACACACTGTCTCCCCTAAAAGTAAATGATATGTAAGAGTATGAAGTCGTAAAGTAGGTAACGAGTTGATTAATCTTGTGTGATGCTAATCATTACTTGCTGGGTGCATTTTTGAATTGAGAAGATGAAATTTCTTAACAGTCAGGGGTGGAAAACCTTTTGTCACAACAAAAAATTTCTTATGTTGCTTATAAGTGCCATGATACACTAATGTGCCTCGTAACACATGTTGACCACCCCTGTGTAATAATCTTTGGATTTATGTAGTCAAAAGTGCACCTCAGCCAACCGCCTACGGTGATTTTAACAAGTTTTTTTTTGTTTCCTTTTTCTATTTGCTAACTTTATGTATTCTATTCTATTTATTATTGTATGTGTTTTCCAACAGATCATCGCTGTCAGATGGTACCAACAAGACAGCTAATAATCGTTTAAAAATAACATTTTCTGCTCGCGCGGGTTCCCTAAATCCATTCCAAAAAGATTATATTCCTTATAATGTCCCAATCCAATCCTCTCTTTTACCATCCATAAATTACACTGATACATTACCCTCGACGACTTTGACTAAGACAAGTACAAGCACTTTTTCAAGTAGTACTAGTACCATAAAATCTACAACAACTGTACAAACCCCAATTACTCCTCCCTCTGTGCAAGTTGTTAACATACAATTAATTAGTAATAGTAATAGTAACAATAATAATAACAATAATGATAAGTTTAATAGTAATACTCATAATAATAATAATAATAATCAAGAACCTTTACCTGACCATTATTATTATTCAGAACAGGATGGTCAATTTGATTATTATGATAATGTTGATGAGATATCCATTCCATCATCTAGCATTAAACCATTAGTAAATAATAACATTAAAAATCACCATTCATCATCATCATCATCATTTCCATCTAAATCATCTTCAAATTCTCTTTCTCAATCATCATCGCCGATAAAAAGTTTTGCAAATTTAAATGTCAATTCCGAATTAAATTATAAATTGCCAAATTTGTCACAGCTTCGATATGATCAGAGCACATTAAAGTCATTTTTTATGAATTCTAATCCGACGACAGAAAATTTAATGTTGGCAAGTTTGAGACAATCGACAGTTGTTTCTACAACGCCTTCTAGTACCACGACGAGCACCGAAAAGTCAACGAGTACTGTAAAAATTCCGACATCTACTCGTGACTTTGAGGAGCAACGTCAAAGAATTTTATCATTTATTATTTCTGAAAATCAACCTTCTAGCTTTAAGGCACCAAGTACAACTACAACGCAAAAATCCATATTTATTGATAATACTAATAACTATAGTCATAGTGATCGCAGCTCTAACAAGTATGAATATTTTAATGCTTTTGTAAATGCGCAAAGCTCACCAAAATCGGTAGAAAGCACGACATCGACGCCACCTAGAAATATTGTGCATAATTCAGTGATTAATCAGGCACCAAAATCAACAGTTTTGATATCTCGTGAACAATTGACACAGAACAATAATAAGCCAATTAGATTGACATTATCGTCATCTTTGGACGGATTTGAAAATAAAAAAGTGACAAAAGACAAGGATTACAATAAAGGAACGGTTGAAGAGATTCCATTGCTTAAATCAAGACAGCCAAGTCTTTACTTAAAACCAATCGAACCAACGACTTACTCACCTCCAAAATCATACAGATTTACCACAGAATCAACTTCAGAACCTTCAACAACGACTTACTCACCTCCAAAATCATTCAGATTTACGTATGAAACTAGTTCAGACCCATCGACAACGACCACGACTGAAAAGCTATTTGAAATTTTAAATGAAGATGTTCAAGAAGATCCAGAAATTTTTGCTATTCATTCAAGACGACGTCCATATGTAAATGATTTTTTGACATCCAGTACACTTCCAACTAGATTCCCACCAAGAACGACCACAACTGAGGCGCCATCCTCAACAGAATCAAGTACAATATTGCCAATTTCTACAGCACGAACAGTCGCACAAAGTTTCACATCTCGCGGTCTTGTCTTTAAAGAAATTCTTAATAAAACATTAGAGTCACAGGCACTTACGAAGCCAATTGTATCGCCTTACATAAGTTTGGAAACACAAAGGCTTACGAATGCAATTCGTACCACACCACGTACTAATTATGGCATTAATACTAATAATATTAACAAAGAATCGACAATGACGTCGACCCAAAGTACGCCAGTTTCAACTTATCGTAGTTACTTCCTTATAACTGCACCACCGAAAACTATGAATAATCAAGAAATTAACATATCAACGACAGTTCCTTCAACATATTTATTCCCCGAATCAAGTACAACGAAATTGGTCTCAAATTTCCCAACTGCATCGCCATTAATTTTAAGTACAGTTAAAGAAAGTTCCTTATCCGAACGTAAACGTGGCAAATATCGTCCATACATTTCATTCTCTTCGTCCTCATCAAATTCTCTTGATGATGAGGCAACAACTTATTCACCACGACTTAGATTTAATGCTCGAACTACCGAATCATCAGTCGAACAACCAGTGGCTGTAAGACGTAAAGTGATTCGATTAAAATCAGCTTCTGTCGATACGCCACAAAGTTCATCAACTGAGCGAGTTGATGTCACGACTTACAATCCATCGAAGAAAATTACTTTTGATAAATTTGTTCCATCACATCCACGCGAATCGCCAATATTAACAAAATTAAATGAATTTATTAGTAAATTATCTCACTCGGCTGATATCTTTGGAACGACGTCAAAGGGAAGCAGTTATAATGATTTAACGAATGAAAATGTTGCGTCAGTTGTTGAAGTTACTGAAAAGCCATTCTATAAAACTAGATTAAGTAATTTAAATAATAATAATAATAGTAATTTAAGAAATCTCACTGAATTGCATGATACAACAACGAAAAAATTCAGAGCAACAGTTGAGATGCCTGAAATGAATGTGCCGGAGGAGAAATATGAGAAAAAGAATGTAAATTTATATAGTGATGATTCATATGATGAGGAAGAGAATGAAGAGCGTCCATATATTGATATTATTGATGATCATGATGAATTCATTGCCGCTGTGAATGTTGAAAGTTCAACATTGTCTAGCACAGCAAGTCCATATCCATCGAGATATTTTTATAATACATCCTATAGTAGTACTGAGACACCGACAAGTACATTGACGACAAGTACAGTCAGAACAACGACAATACCAGAAACGACATCCACGACTGTGACAGAGCCGACGACAACGACAATATTACGTACGACAGAAAACGTACTGAGTACAACGACGACAACTAATCCTAAAAGTTTGATCCCGCCGCGCGCTACGCGTGTTAACAATGCAATTAAATCATCAATAAGTGCTGGACTGCCACGCAGAAATTCAAATAGTGCCAGTATAAAATGTAATGATGTTTCCTCCAATGCAAAGTGCAACGAAATTCCCTCGAGGTACTACCAAAAAATCATTTACAAACACACACACATTTTAGTAATAAATTTAGATAACTTTTTTTATTGAGTTTTTGTGCTTTAACTCGAACCGACGATCGACAATTTCTTTTCAGTTTTAATTTCATTTTCTTTTTTGTTTTTTTTAATCATGACACATGTACATATAAGTATTTTGTAATATTATTTCTACTCTATATGCCTGTCTCTAGAGATACACACTGATAAGAAAAAAATAAGCCAAAAAAATGACTTGCACTATGAACAGTTTGCACAAATCACTTTCAATTTATAAATCTTACCATTTTTTGCACTAATAATAATTCGAAAAAAAAAAGAATTAAAAAATAAATTCCACCCTGCCAGGCAGCAATAAACATACAAATTGAGCTTATAATTGACGCACCCATAGTTTCAAATAAATTACACTCAAATAAATGAAAAATAAATGCTTTAGTAAAGCGCGGCTGGAACACAACTTTACTGTTTAATTTCTCATTAATTTCATTTAACATTATAAAGCAAAGAAGGAATTGAGTTCTTTGGTTTTGTTTGATTAATGGATCTTTTTTTGAGTTTCAAAAACTTTTATGGAGATTTTTTGAATTTTTTTGGTTCTTTTTTGAACTGTTCTGGTCAAATTTAAATTTTTTGATCACATTTTGAACTTATTGATCAAGTTTTGAACTTGGTTATCGAATTTTGAAATTGCTAATCAAATTTTGAACTTGTTTGGTCAAATTTTGATCTTGTTGATCACATTTTGAATTTGTTGATCATATTTTGAACCTGTTGATCGAATTTTGAACTTTTTCGGTCAAATTTTGAACTTGTTTAGTCAAATTTTGAACTTGTTGATCACATTTTGAACCTGTTGATCGGATTTTGAACTTGTTTGGTCAAATTTTGACTTTGTTTGGTCAAATTTTGAACTTGTTTGGTCAAATTTTGAACTTGTTGATCGAATTTTGAACTTGTTTGGTAAAATTTTGAACTTGTTGATCACATTATGAACTTGTTGGGTCAAATTTCGAACTTGTTTGGTCAAATTTTGAACTTGTTCGGTCAAATTCGGAACTTGTTTGGTCAAATTTTGAACTTGTTGATCACATTTTGAATTTGTTGATCATATTTTGAACGTTTTGATCAAAATTTGAACTTCATGCTCAAACTTTAATCTTTTTGTTTACAATTCATAAAAGTAAATCATTAAACATAACCAAAGAACTCACCAAACTTGCACTTAAATCGCATAATTTTAATATTTTCAACTTTAATTTCCAATCACAAACCCCGATCATCCTTTAAATCCATTTCAATTATCCTATGACGAACTTTATACCCAACCCCGCAATTGAATTTTAAACCGCAGTTCTTTTTGCTATTTCTATTCTACATTTTATTTTGTCTAATTTATTCTCATTTGTGAATAACAAAAATGCTTTTATGTAATAAAAGTCTCTGTCATACTTGCTCAGGACTTGACTTATGCCCATCATGTTACTAAATCTATGCTATAATAATATAAAAAGAATTCTTAATTAATTACTAACTTAATAATTAAGTTTTAATAAATATTTTGATTTTGATTGATTTGGAATGCAATGAAATGTATGGTAATGAAGTGTAGCGAAGGCAGCTTAGTTGCTACATGTCTAAATCTTTAAGGTTCTCATTCCACATGCTTTAATGTGTTATTTACATATAAGATTCAATTGAGATTTGCCAAGAAAATGTACAAACAAACAATTAATAAATCAATTAAGATGAAATCTTGAAGTCAGTTGTGCTTGTTGCTTATTATGTAATGAGATAATCACAACAAGAAGAACAAATGAAATTAATAGTTTTGAACATGTTTTAATATTTGTTTGGTTTGTTTTTTTCTTTGATTTTTCATTAATCATGAAATTGATTTTGTAAGTAAATTATTGAAACAACCTAAACGAGTATAAGAAAAATAATAATTATTACGAGGTAACTTATGGTTAAATTTAGAGTTACATAAGAATATTTTTAATCTATAAAAGCATACGCACTGAATTTGAGAAATTTTGCACGATATTACATAAAATATTGTTATGTACGGAAAGTAATGTTTAGGATATTACGCATTTTTTGTGTATTAAAATTATATTTTATTAGAGTGAGGCGTTAAGTCTATAAAAAGCTTTGTTGTAATTGAAGCTTATGGTAATTTTTTATGTAAAATAAAATTCAGCTGCAAGTTGTTCAATTTAAGATTGAAACTAGATCGGTTTAAAACATTACAAATGTAGCAAAAATTAAGAAAATTGTAATTTCGAGGTTAGGTTAGATGAAGTCTTCCCGAATGGCACAAGTCGGTTAATAGATTAGAAATCCGTGAGCAAACCAGTGTGACATAATGCTGAATTCAAATCGAAGCCAGCACCATGCCAGAGTCATTCCAGCTTAGCGTCAGATTTCTATTCGATTAACCGACTTGTGCTATCCAAGCTTATGACAAACTCGTATTGTGATCAGATTTAGGACTTATTAGCAAAATTCCTGATTTTGAAAACTAGTGAAGTAATCTATTCTAGTCAGAAAGAGTTTTTCATTCCGAACAAGCTAGATTTTTATTTATTTTCAAAAATTTTGTTGAAGATTACAACTCTTGTTTGTGACTAGATGCAAAATTAGATAATACCTAAATCTGCCTGTTCCTTCCTGTATCAAAATTTGACGAAAAATTACGTTCAATAAGGAAATTAATTTATTTTCGTCAAAATTACATATTTGCATTGCAAAACTAAATTATATCATGAAAATTCAACGTAATATGTGTCAATTTACATCAATCGAACTAGTTCCTTCCTAACATTCATAACTAGTTGAGGAAACGGCATAACTTTAACCATCTTTACCATTCATTTCATGGCATTTACTAAATCAATCAAATTAATATCTTATAAAAGTTACTTTGTAATATATACAAAATTTTGTAAATATGGACATATCGTTTCTAATTCATTTTTATATTCATTCTTTCTCTTTCTTCCTCTCTTTTTCAACCAAAAAAAAATTTTTTTCTTGCAATTTCACAAAAACAAAATTTTTTTTATTAACCTTAAAAAAATACAAAACTTTTTTGCAAAAACAAAAATTTGTACTTAAAGACCATCAAACAGAAATCCAAGTAGAGGCAGTTCCGCATATGCTGGAGAGACTCAATCAACAGTTTCTCAAAATTCTGGACGTGGTACTTCACCAACGTATGTTTTTTATTTTTATTTTTATAAATTTATTAATTCTATGCTGGAAATATATAAATAATTAATATTTTATTTTTCTTGCACATATTAACACGCTACACGCTATATCCATTGTTCCACAAAAAAATCACACAAACACAAAATTATGTTTTATTTCTATAGACGCGCACGACCAACATTGAAGCCAGCACAAATCGTAACTAAAGATGCACAACAATTTGTTGATATTTATCGACATCAGCCAACACGTATTGAGCCTCTCTATCCACAACCAGTGCCAGATAAGACAGCTGCCAAATGCCGTAAAGATGTTTGCTTACTTCCAGATTGTTATTGCGGTGGTAAAGATATTCCAGGTAATGTTCAAGCTTCTTTATTCAATGATTTATTGAAAATTATTTTAATTATAAATGGAAATTAATCACGTAAAGGTAAGTTACCGTTGGACGAGACACCACAATTAGTTCTCATCACATTCGAAGATTCCGTAAATGATGTACACAATAAAGTGTTTGAAATGTTATTTAATTCATCACGTAAGAATCCAAATGGATGTGAAATTAGAGCAACATTCTTTATTTCACATGAATGGACCGATTATGGTCTAGTTCAAGATCTTTATGCTGATGGACATGAAATTGCTTCGCACTCAGTTTCGTAAGTTTGAGATGAGAATTTTTTTTATTGTTCTTCTTCTGGCTTGAAACTTATTTTTTACTGATTTTCGTTTTCTTGGTTGTGAGTTCTTTTAATTTGAGATGATTTATTTTGAGGAATTTTTGGAGGTTCTTGTGGATTTTTAATAGATATTTGGAGTTTATTTAAGTATGCTGAGTCTACATCATCTTAACTGATCAGTCTATAAACAGTAGTGGGAAATTACCAGTGCAGCTTTTAGTGTCTGTGGATCACGAAAGCTTCACAATATTAGAAAATGGCTTTGGTACTTGAGACTAATTGAATCGATGATGCTTTTTTGAGACTAAAGTACTAGACTGTTGTGTTCCAAGCCACCATAGCTCTGGGTTTGGTTTTAGGGGTCTGAATGTACAGTAACCAATGACTGTCTTAAGCTTGGTTCTAGTGAGACTGAACATACTTAATAATTCCTTTAAAATTTTCACAAGAATCCCAAAATTGCTCCACATTGTTCCATCTTTAACCAAATAATTATTCCAGCGCTTTTACATCCATCCATCAGCATTCTCCATGTTCATCAACATTCTTCGATATATTTACAAATTTATTTAATTTATTTCAGTTAACCTTATTTGAATTCATCATTTGCTAATTTGCCGATTTTATTTTTGTTCTTTTCTTTCTATCTTTTCTTCTCACTTCCTCCATAAATCCATTGCATATAATTTTTAATTTAAAATAAATCAATCAATAAAATCTCCATCATCATCACCATCATCATCGCTATGATCATATTATTGCTTCCTACTCATCAATAAACCTGTTGTAAAACAATCGATTCATTTTTTTTCGATTAAATTGAATAAAAAAAAATTGTGTGCAATAACTCGCCAAAATGTGACGTAATAATGGCAATTTATAGGAGATATGCCAGTGGAACAAGTGCCACAGATCGTTTTATTAACCTTCGATGATTCCGTAAATGACTTGAATAAGCAACTCTACGCTGATCTTTTCCAACGTGATCGTGTTAATCCAAACGGTTGTCCAATCTCTGCAACATTTTATGTGTCACATGAATGGACTGACTATAGTCAAGTTCAAAACTTATATGCTGATGGTCATGAAATGGCATCACATACAGTCTCGTAAGTAAAATGAGAATATCAACTTGTTCTGCACGATGACACACAAAATAGCTGCACACAAATTATTATTATTTTTTTGAAGTAGTTTTGCACACACAATTATACACAATTATGATTAAATTTATTAAGCTTTTATCCCGAGTGGCACAAAATTCGGTTTCATGGGCATATCCTAATCAACCTAGAGAATATGACTACGGGTGGGGTATACTCTTTTATATACATAAGAAGCCTGCTCTACAATATCTGCTCTAGCAACGATAAAACATAAAAAATAGCCTTAACAGCAGTGTGTCGCTCGGGTAAAGACGATAATCAGGTTTGATAAAGCCGTTAAAATTCATTCACAACACAAAACACATTTTGCACTCATTATGTCATAATTTGTTAATTTAAACATCCCACACATGTTATTCATCACAACTTAGTAGTTACAATTTAATTTTTTAACCTTATTATTCCACAAATTATACTTACATATTAATATGCATGAAGTAAAAGGTAACAAGGTTTGCTCATTTCTGAGACGTGGATAGAGAGCAAAAAAATTAAAAATGATTTAATAAATTAAAATGTCTTGCATCACGGGAGATCTTACACAGAGGCGAAAAAATTATGTCTTGTTTAATTATGCAAAGTACTGGACATAGTCAGTTATGGAGTGCCTCATTTCTGTTGAAATTGTGTCATTAAAAAGAGCTGTTGAACTGAAAAATTAAATTAAATTCATATTTAATTGACACTGATAATAATTATTTCAGTTATAAAATGTCACATTGCCTTATAAGTTCTGGGAATATAATAAAGAGAAATAAATTGCTTTGATAGTCGAATCATGTCGAGGATACAGTTAATTTTAGTGGATTTCCTTGATGAAGCTTTTTAATGGGTAATTGTGGCTATTTGGCATATTTTAGTGGTATGTACTAGATATCAGCTTCTACTGCTAGCTACTAGCTACTAGCTTTTAGGAATTGCATCAAGCAACTAGCTCCAAGCTACATGCTACTAGTTCATAATTGTACCTACTAGCTCCTAGTTACTAAAAGCTATTTGTTACTAAAAGCTACTAGCTATTAATAGCTACTAGCTACTAAAAGCTACTAGCTACTAAAAGCTGCTACTAGCTTGAAACAGCTCATACATCTAAATGCTATTAGTTTCCTGCCTAAAATCCCTCTAACTTGGGGGTCTTGATAAACGTAAACTTCAATCTCTACACAAGCTCCTCAAAGCTCTCGTTTTCTATTAAATGAGATTATAAAACTATATCCATTAAATCAAATGAGTAAACCTTGGACTAGCCATTAAAATTAAATTGCCATACCCTCCCATATAATTTGATATAATTTTATTAATTTATTTGTTTTCCTTTCTTTCATTAATCAAAAAAATAATAAACAACGATTAAATAAATAAACAGACATAGTTTCGGTGAACAATTCTCATTGAAGAAGTGGGCACGTGAAATTGCCGGTCAACGTGAAATTTTATCAGCATATGGAGGTGTTAAACAAGACGATATCCGCGGTATGAGAGCTCCATTCTTGTCAATCGGTGGCAATAAAATGTTCAAAATGTTGTATGACTTCAACTTCACTTATGACTCATCTATGCCTGTTTATGAAAATCGTCCACCAAGCTGGCCATATACACTTGACTACAAACTCTTTCACGACTGTATGATTCCACCATGTCCAACAAAGAGTTATCCAGGTGTGTGGGAAGTTCCTATGGTAATGTGGCAAGATCTTAACGGTGGCCGTTGTTCGATGGGTGACGCTTGCTCAAATCCAGCTGAATCCGAGGGAGTTTACAAAATGATCATGAAGAATTTCGAACGTCATTACACAACAAATCGTGCTCCATTTGGCTTGTTCTATCATGCAGCATGGTTCACACAACCACATCATAAAGAAGGCTTCATTCAATTCCTTGATGCAATCAATAGCATGAAGGACGTTTACATTGTTACAAACTGGCAAGCACTTCAATGGGTTCGTGATCCAACGCCAATTTCCAGAATGCAATCTTTCCAACCATTCCAATGCAATTATCAGGTGAGTAATGAGAAAATTAATAATGGATTCATTTATCATTGTGATTGTGGATGAATGAAATTGGACTTTTAAGTTGATGTGATTTTTAAAGACTTCTGAGTTTTTAACGATTAGTTTTTGACAAATTGACCCAAAAAGTCTCATTTCCATCCAGAAAAATGCGCTAACCGTAAAATTAAATTACTTTTTTAACATCTCATTATCATTCATCTTGTCTGTTCCAAAACAGGATCGTCCAAAGCGTTGTAATAATCCAAAAGTATGCAATCTCTGGCATAAGTCTGGCGTACGATACATGAGAACGTGTCAACCATGTCCCGAGATATACCCATGGACTGGTAAAACAGGTATCCGATCATCAAGAATTGACAATGATCTTGAAGTTGTGGAGAGTACTTAAATTGATTATGTAGAACAAATTGAATTAAAAAAGACCACACATTATCATCACCATTACCGTCATCAACAATTGTATTTATTAATTTGATAGTTCATTGAGCTGAATATGATTAATGTTTCTCTATTTTTAATGTATATTTTTTTATTATCATTTTGCATACATGAAATTTCCAATAATAATGGTTTATGTAATAGTAAACAAATCCTTCAATATGTCTTAATGAAATAAGTTACCTTTATCATATCTGTTTGTGACTTTCTTTCTATTTTTATTATATTTGATGTGATTAATCAAGATTAACAAGAATTATCTTCACTGAATTTCAATGAAATTAATAATTTTTTGCGAATATAAAAATTTTATTTTGAGGTTAATCCTTTAATAGATTTGACTGGGATTTACCTCAAATGCTGTAAATTGATTTTCATATTTTGGCGCGATTGTGATAATTTATTAAGAAAAATATTTGACAGTAAATTTGAGATTTTGCTGGACGTAATGAATAGAAATTTTTGCTTGAAATAAGCTTTTTGGTTTGATAACTTTTAAATTAACGATCAAAAGATTTTGGATTAACGCTTTTTTGAAATTTAAAAATTTTATTCAAGATTCTTGAACATGAAGTTCAATTTTTGAACTTTAATGATTTTAAACTTGTAAAATAGTTTATTAACGTTCAAATTTTGATTTTAAAGCTCAAATTTTGACAACAAAGTTCAATTTTTGATCTAAAAGTTCAAATTGTGAACTTTTGATTCATTTTTAAATTGTTAAAATCAAAATCCAAAATCAACGAAAACAAAATAACCAAGTCCATAAATTTTTTTGGAACTTTAGCAAAAATTCCTCAGAAATGACTCAAATTTCGAAACAAGAAAGAATTCAGTGAGGAACGAAAAATCCACTATTTAAAATTTTCAAAATCAATGACAAAATTCTTTGAATGCTTTTAAGATTTTTAAACTTAAAGTTTAAAATATTTTCTACAAAAGCATCGAGGAGTCTGACTGCTCCTATCTTTTTCGTCTATTCTATAATTTTTTTGAAATATTTCTTTGGAAAAATTCTTTAAAAATTTCTTACTTGATTAATAGAAAAAAAATTCTGAATTAAATTAGGGATTCAATGATTGTTTTAGGAAGTTAAGGATGAATGTCATTTATGAAATGAGTCACATGGTTAAATGGCTTGAAAGCTGCTATAGGTTCTGTAGTTCAATAATGAAGGCAGACGTTTATTCATAAATTAAGCTCCGAATCTACTTAAAATTCTGGTCTTCAATACTATTTTTTTTTGAAATTTCAAAACCTAATGTACCATAAAATCAATAAATATGCAGCAACTGCCCGTCACTTAACTACCTACAGCAATCATTCAGTCCCTGAGTAAAATACTTAAAATAATTATTATTATTATAGAAATTTACATAATAAATTGTGAATGTAGTGTAAATGGATGAATGGAACTGAAATCGTGAATGAATAGTTAGAATATTAAGGCTGTTAATGTCTAATTTAAAAAATTTATTTGTAAAATGTAAAAAAGATGCAAAAACATTTGAATTAAAGAATTCAATACTTTTTAAGATTTAAATAATGAAAAATGACAATCAAATGACATGTGCTGAAGAAAACTTAAACTTTATGATTTTAGAGGGAGTGATTGATATTGAGGGATGAGGACATTTTATGAATTTTCGAAAGATTATATTTTTAAAAAGTGAAAAACAGTTTAAAGTGTAAATTCTAAAAGCATTTAAGAAACTTATTTATTATTGTTTTTCAAATTTATTTTTTGTATTTTTTAACAAACTTTTGACTTTTCTTATGAAATTTGAAATTGATTTGATATTTTTAAATTTTTATTAAAATTTTTTTTATTTTTTTCCTAAAATTGAATCTATAAAAATCAATTAATTCATTATACCTTTTATAAAATTTTCAATTGTTCAATTTTTATAAGTTTCTTAAAGGTTTTTTTAAATTTTAAAATTCCCAAAAATTTTCAATCCTCAATATAAAGTTGCTCCCAAAATGAAACTTATTAAATTTTTTTGTAAGTTTAAAACATTTTATAAGTGCAAGTTGCATTAAAATTCCAATGTGTAAATAATTAAATTTTTTGTGTAATAAATTGTAACAAAAAGAAATTCTCTCAAGCTATTCACAGCCTTTAATTGGCTTGTTGTGGAACCCTAAAGACTTTAATGATTGCTTGAGATCAACTAGCATTTAGAAGATAGAAAAAAAATGTGGAAAAAAATGCTAAGAAAATGAAGAATTAAATTTAAAATTAATTTAAATGCCATATCAACCAAGACGTGCACAAATTTTCTTTCTAGAAATTTAATAAAAAAATTAAATCTTGTGTTGATAAAGTGTCCATAGAGCATCGTGAATTTTTAATTTAAGCACAGCATGATGCAATGCATATTTTATCGACACAAAAAATTTTTTTTGAATGTAAATTTACAAGATAAACTTTTTGACTCAAAACTATTTTTTTAAAAAAATATATTTCTTGAGATTGACTTTATTTACGATTTTAAGTTGCGAATATTTTTATTTCACCACCCTACTCCCATTTTTGGATATACATATTCCAAGTTTATTCGTTTTATTTCTTATTATTTCATATTATCTTGTAAATAGCCACTTTATTTTGTAATATTTGTATATGTACTTATTTTTAATGACAACTACATTGCAATTTCATACTGCCTGTAATATCATATTTCCCTTATAATCCTTAAATAGAAACAAAAAAATTAAATCACAATGTTAGTAGATAGTAGAAGAATTATTGTATTTCGATCGAATTTTTCGCTTGTGATTACTGAATTATGCTTGTGTATACAGGAATTTTTTTTTTATATATTTTATTGTAAATTTTTTTCTTTCTAAAATGAAGTTTAGAATGGAAAACCCGATTGTAAAAAATGGATCAAAAATGACTAAGGATAAAAATAAAATGAATAAAGAAAGTAAAATTTTGTGTTTTTGACAATAATTTCGTGAGTTTCAGGATTTTTTTAATTTTGAGCAGTTTTTGTTCGAAGTACAGGAGCTGTGATTCACACGTGTGATTTACTGAGTTTCAGACTCAAGCACCAAAAAAACTTTTTTCAAAAAAATTATTGTAGAACAACGAAGTAGGGACCGGGAGATCAAAAATTCTAGTAGATCATTAGAAAGCTAGAATCATTTTATTGGATCTGAAGAAATTTTTAAGCATTTCCAAGTCACAAAGAGAGGAACGAACCTTTGTGGTGTAGGAGCAGACTGGAATCTGGGGTATAGAGCCATTTATAAGCTAATCTGCCGGTACAAGAGATAAACCTCTATAGCGCGATCGGCTAAGCAACAGACCAAATATCAATTACCTTCTTTTTTCAGGACTTGGGTTTGATTCCCACCAAAGACCGATGGTAAAATCATTTATCTTTTCATCACTCTACAACACAGTAGCTGTTACTATTGATACTCCTAGAAATTTCTCACTCAACATTAGAGCTCGAAAGAGCATAGTTTGATGAGCACTGATCTATAGCATCTTCAAATCAAAAGTGCAGATCGCGTTTTGATCATTTTTGCCATCATCGCTTCCAATTGAATACCAGAATCGACTCTAGAAGATAGAAGGTAGGCACTAATCATTCGATTTTGAAGTCACTCGGTCTGACTTTGGAGGAAGTCTGGAGTTTCCTTAAAAAATTATCAACCCTAGGACCACCATGTTAGTAAACACATTTTAAGCTCTCAGAATCTGTAAATTGCAAAATAATAATAATAAATCAAATTATATCGACATATTGACATGCGAAAGCCATAAATTATTTTATCGCCTGACTTCAAAGTAAACTCAAATATTGAAATAAACTCCCACTGCATGCAATTTTCAACTTCTTAATCATTTTCTTTGCAGCAATAAAAATCAATCAAGAATTATGAATGTTTATTGGGAATCAAAAGCCACTTAATAAAATCCCATTTAATTTTACATCTTCCATAATGAATAAATCGATATTCTTTAATAACTTTTAAAATGGCTATGAATTGAAAGACAATTTAAGAACGCAATTTGTGTTGATTAAAAAAGCACTTATTAAGCACTACTTATTAAGCATAAGTAGTTGTTTACAGCAATTTCCATTATCGTCTTTAATTAAACTTAATGCATTTAAAAATGCCCACTGACTAAGTACAAAGAAGGTAAAGACAAAACGTTTATTTAGTCGTAAATAAAAAAGCTTCTTCTTGCTGATCATCACAAGAAAAATATCGTATATGGATCGTATTTGTAATAATAGAGCAGCTCCACCAGTTTTGCCAGTAATTCATTTAAACTGCGAATATTTTTGCCTCGTAAGATGATTCAATTGAACAATTACATCAAATTATCTCCACTTCCTTGTTTTGATGCGAAAATGGATAGTTTCACTTTCTGTGATTTGTTTTAGACTCGTTTTTCATACCGTGTGCTGTGCTATCTCCATGCAATAATAATAATAATAATAATTTTAAAATAAAATATTCAACATAATAATAAAAAAATAAAATCATTGATTTCTTTCAGTTGAGATGGAGATGATGATGATGAGACTGGTGACTAAGAGAGAGTATGATTGTGATCAATGGGTGGATGGTTTTGAGTTTTTGACACTTAAAGTGATGTTATAAAGTTGCCGATAAAGTAACTCCTGCCATACCTTTCTAATTTTACACCCTAGAAAACACAATAAGCTGACCTAAGACAAATACATGACCACATGTAAAGTAGGAAGTAGCCAAGGATATATCCTCAAAGTATCTGTCTACGATTCTAATGCTAAGGCAGGTCAAACCCTTAAAAAGCTCCATCAAATGAATTAATATAATAAAAATGATTACGGTAGCCAACCTTAGTGTATAGCTTGGGCATCGTTCCTTAAGAGTATAACCAGGATGATCGATCCTTAATAATCTTAAGTAGCAACACTAAGTGTCTGTTTAACCATCGATCATGCAAGGGTGCGGAACTGATAAATTACATTTTGATCATTTTTGATAATTTTTTGATCGTTTTTTGATCATTTTTGATCATTTCATCAGTTCCATACCCTTGCAAGTCTCCACTCCTTGTATGAAAAGCTCAAACAGATGAAAATAAAAAAGTTTCTCAACTCCAGCAACATGAAACTTGTTGTTTATTATATTTTATTTCCCTGACATTACCTCTTGCGTATTGTAATGCAAAATGTACAGATTTCGCAACATCACCATTGACATCTGTGACCTTGTTGATAAATTTGATCCTTCAATATTCCAGAAATGTTTATAGACATTGAACAGAATGGAAACTTGTTAGACATTTAAAACAAATGCCGAGACATATGTTTATCAAGTTTTCCATTTTTCTTCATCAACAGCGATTGTTAATATCATGTGCGTAGCCAGGGGGTGGATTTGGGGGACAAATCCCCCTTCGACTTGAGCAAAACTCGAAAAAATCCCCTACCCCCCCCCCCAAAAGTTCCGTACAAAAAAAATTTTTTTGTCCCCCGCTCTTCAAATTCCAGGCTATGCCCCTGGTTAATATTAAATTTTATATGCACTTGTGAGAGCTGAGTATGCATCAGATTTCTTTTTTTTGCACGCGTTAAGTTTCCATTTTCATTCGCATTTTCTCTGTCATGTCTCGTTCATGTTTCTTCCTATCACATACTCAACATTATGCTCGCACATGTGCAATTAAATCATCTCAAGTTTGCCAATTTAAGACTTCTTAAGAATTTTTTATTGACTACTACTAGGCACGATGGTGATGGTAATGATGATGGTCTACGAACATAAATGAAATGTCAAGGCAAATTAAGAGTGAGTGATAAAAAAAATAACTGCAATGTTGGTCGTTAATGGACGCTTTGACTTCCAATAAAAATCGACGAAAAAAAAAAATCTCGTAAAAATTATTTCTGAAGACAAAAGAGGTGATCAATAATTTTCAGAGTCATAAAAAATGTCAACAAAATGTTTTTTTTTATTAGGTGAGATAAAAATTTGCAGTCGGAAAACAGGTCAGCTTAATTTTGATGTGGTGATAAAATTTTGTATGTAATTCAGATATTATGTTAATTTCATAATTTTTATTGGATTTCATAAGGAGTTGTTTATAAATTACGTCTAGCCTTTATACTAATTGTATAACAAGCTGGATAAATGGAGTGGAAAAATCTCATTTTTTCATAGACGTCATTAATGAAGCGCTGCTTAATAATTTCATTTTCGGAAAAAAATATTTAATTGGTCAATTAAGATATCGAATTTATGATCCAATTTTTTTTCCTAGAACGAAACTGATTTTGGCCATATTTAGAGCTTTTCAATGACATTGATGCTGTTTAATTTAGTTGTTGAAAATTATGATGTCTTGATTGGTTTCCATGAATTTTAAACAGTCTACAGAAATTGTTTGATCAGTTGTAATTTGCAGCAGCAGTGCTAATCCTGGGATTCATTTCGAGCCAATCTTTTAGGGGTCGTTCAATTATGACGTCCGAAATTAACGTCATTTTTCAAAAACAAACAATAGATTTCCAGTAATTTCTATTGTTCTTTACTTGCTGACCTCTTTCCTTCCTAGACGTCATAAGTTGACGGCTCCTTAATTTGCAAAAATTCTTGAATTTGCTAGGGTTTTTTGAGACGACAAAATTAATCAGTCTTATCATTATTTTATTTTCTCAATACTAAATAGGATTTTAGGCTTAATAGCTTCATTATAAATTTCCTTTCAAGTTACCAACTCATTTCACTTGTTCAATTTTGTTGAAATGAATTCAAGCCTTCAATTGTCATCTTAATCAGCATCCAACGAATCAAAGCTTTCATAATATTACATAGTTGTTAAAATTAGGATTCAAACTGACGACTATAACAACTTTAACTGCATTAATCCACAGAGGCACTTTTCATATCTCTGATTCTTTGACAGAAGCTCCAAATCAATATTCCATGTAATGCATTATGTATCAACTCATAAGGGAGCTTTTACAACATACCTTTAATTGCTATTCAATGTCAATGGAAGCATATTTGGAGTTTGAACAATTGATAAACAAAGATTGTTACTTTTATGGATCTTGTTTTACATCACAGTAAATTTCATGTTGCGTGCTATAAAATTGAAAAATAAAACTTCCATAGAGACACATATCAGCAAGACATTTAGCGCTTTAAAAGTTATTGACCACATCATGCAATGCCAATGATTTATGATGTGCAATTCAACATCTTTCATTCACACACGGTAGAGCCAGGCGCGTAGCCAGGAATATATTATCCCCCCCCCCCCTCCTTAAGCGTTTTAGGCCGTGCTCTCGCTGGGGTTAAAAACGTTTAAAGGGGTACAAAACCCTCCTGGCTACGCGCCTGAGTAGAGCTATATCGTTCACTGACCATAAACGAAGATCTCATCAATGAACAGATTGTTGTGTTTGTAAACTGACGAGTTGCCATTAAAAATCAGCAAATTTTTGTCAGTTATCAAAAAATTGTGAGTTTTGTGTTTTCTAAAACCACAAAAAAATGAGCAATAATTTTATTTGAGTATATTTCGCCTCTCTCAGTTGATAAAAATTCTGCCTTTTAATAATGCACATCATGCGATTAATTTTTTTGGCATTTAGTTTATTTTTGTCTCATACTGTGATTATACATGCATAATGAGCTGCTCGCGTTTGTTATCACTTGTGTTTCGAAAAATTATGGAAACAGTTTTTTAATATTTATAGAAATTCAAAAATTAAGTTTTTAAAATGGATACATTAATAGGCTTATTGAGAAAAACTTTTAGAGTAATTCAATTTTCTAATGAATTTGGACCGACTGGTAAGTTGTTATAAGGCTAAATTGGAAATTTTACAAGGAACCTAGCAGATGTCACGTCTCTTCCCTTTTGCTATGCCTCTGAGCATCTTTTTACTTATTCCCAATTAATTACACAGAACTTCCTTAAGCGTATTCACTCTTATCTTATTTAGTAGCGGTAATGCAGGCATATTTTAGAAAGGATTAATCAACTCCTGATAGCAGTAATTGAAAATTGGCATTGATAATTTTTATTCAGACATACTCGAGGTTATAAAGTCTAAAAATTCACCATTTTTATTGTTGCCAATGAGATTAATGGAATAGATTAGGAAAACTCTCTTTATTGGCTTTGGGTTCCATTTTTATTTGGGGTTTTAATCAATAAATCATTACTTACTCTGAAACATCTCAAAAATTGAAGGTGTATAAACTCTTGAATAATTCCCAAAATCCTAAAATATACTCAAATAAATAATCTCAACCCTTCCTTTCATCAAAATTTGAATCCCAGTTGAATCCCCTTAATAACCTAAAGTAGGGATTTCCGGTAAGATTTAAACTGCAGGAGTTTTTTGAAATTTTTAAAGAATTTTCAGTTTTAATCTCGAATGTGAACGCTTAGCGAAAATCCAGGTATATAGAGACACTTGAAAAGAAACTCTACAACACAGCACAAAATTCATATCTAGTAATGCGGTTTTTAAGGGTTTTTAAGAAAGGGTCTGTCACAGACATGGGAAGTTTATGACGAAGACTAGACTGAACTTTAAAGAGTTGCATATCATTAGAAAGGAATTACATTACATTAAGCTACAAATAAAATATTCTTTCTAGATAACATGGAACTTGTTGTTCTTCCATCCCGAAGCAGTAACCAACAATCAACAATTTCATTGACAGAAGTAGGAAATTTTCAGCTTGTCGAGAATTTATCAAGCTTCTTTAAGTCCGTTGAGATATCACCTTTGGCGAAAGAATCCAACAAAGTGTTGCTATTTAAGTTAAAAATTGAAGAGATTTTATTCAAACCAAGTGTTGCCGAGCTGGATGAATTAGCTGAATTATTTGCAAATAATTCTATTGTTATTTTGTTATCGACAAAAGATGGCAAAAACTTCTTTCTTTATTGGAAGTCGAAAGAAATTCGAAACTTTTTGATGCTTAAAATATATAACGAATGTGACTTTATGAACGATTTGAGGCTTTTTGAATTTCTCGCAAAATTTTTATCTAATGGTTTAATGCAAGGACATTTGGGTAAATATTGAGAATTGCTTAATTTTAAAATTCATTTAATTATTCAAGTTCCTATCAGGACTTCATAGTGCACTTCCAATCAATTCTACAACAAATGCATTTGAGCTTCATCTATTAGCTGATCATCGCAACTACAACTTACTGCTAATTGCTGCTGAACAAGGAAACCAATTCGTCGTTAATTTCATGCTGGATGGAGGTTTTAGTACTGAATCATATGATGCAAATGCACAAACTTTAGCTTATAACAACAAACATTTCGAAATATTACTTTCACTTTTAAAATCCAATTTACCATATCCTGAAAGTATTAAAATGAATGAATGTCCAAATGACATTATTGAATTTTATGAAGTCACTGAAAGTTTAAATGAAGCCATGCTGTTAGGAAATTTGTCTACAGTTTTAGAAATTTTGTCACTAAATCCAGAAATGCTGCATTTTTATAATTTATCAAATGAATCCGCTCCAGTTTTTGCATTAAGGAACAAGTTATGGGACATGTATGCTCTGTTAATATCCAAAGACATAAAGTTTGGTCGACAAGAAAATTTCAGTGAAATAAAGGATAAATTAAAGGATAGTGAGCGTAAGCAGCTACGAGAAATTCACTATAAGGAATCAAAATATTTGCCAGATAATCACATGCACGTTTTAATTTCTAATGTACGCCTGGCACCATCCACATCTGAACCCAAGCAAAAATATGAAATCATTCAAAAAGCTTTTGAAATTTTAAATGAAAATCCATTTATTCAAATTATTTTGATGATTATTGCTGCATCTAGAAACTTTCGTATTGTTTTCGATTTTAATCGTGATTCTGTGGAAGTCATTGATCCAACTGCTGATGCATCAACAAAAGGACTTTTCTATTTATCTGGAAGAATTTATATTGGAGCTAAACAGCTTCTTAAAACTGATACAAAATATGAAACGTTTGGTACATTAGCTCACGAGCTTTGTCATTATGCAGTCAATTTGGTATATAATAATTTAGGAAGACCCTATTTGAGGAGTGATAATGACACGGCTACAAAATTTGAAGAAATTTCACAAAAATGTTTGGAAAATTACAATAATGAAGAAATTATGAAGCCAGTTTATGAATGCTATCCATCACATATGCAACATGCTGAGTTAATTGTTCGAGTTCCTCATTTAATCATGCAATACCTACAGAATCCAGAAAAGGTTGAGGAACTTCGTCGACTGTTCAGTGATCTTTTTGACTTTTTCGAAAACAAAGTAGTTAAAGAATTAAAAGAAGCTCTTCCAATTGTTGAAGCAAAAGCTGAAGTTGAAGCTTTTAACAATAAGAAAAGAATTAGAAACTTAATATTAACATTAATTGTTGTTGGGATTTTAGCAATTGTTGGAATCATTTCTGGAGTTTTCATTTCACGATCAATGTTTAAAGACCCAAATTATAAGTTTAATGAAATGTCAATTGATGATCAAAAGAAGGTTATGGAAGCTCCTGTATCATATAAAAATATAGATTTAAAATTTCGTGACTTGTTTCCAGATAATTCTGTTGTATATCCAATGTTAGAGTCTCATTTAATATCGAATATGCTCAAACAAGAATCACTGAATTTCAGCAGTTTTCACATGCGGAATTTGGAAAGTTTAGTAACTCACAATTGGAAAAATATGACTTCAATGTTAAGAGAAAAAGTTTTAGCTTCAAGTTTGAATTTTCAAGGTCAAATTTTAAATTTTGAAGAATTAAACAAATCATATCCTAAAGTTTTGGATCATTTAAGTTCCGATCAGATTATTGATATTCTTGATGGAAAAATTATATCCGTTCACAAAATGATGAAAGAAGAAAGTTTTTATGTTGAAAGGAAATTTTTGGATGAAAATATTAATGCAATCTTTTTCGAATTCATGGAATATGTTAAAGGTGATGAATTAAATGGATGCTTTTCTTCAAATTTAACTGGAACAAGCAAAACATTTGAAGATTTTTATAAGGAATTTACGAACCAAAGCATTCCATCGCAAATCAATAGATTCAATCAGATAAAGCAAGATGAGATTTTCAAGAAATGCAAAACTTCTCAATTTTGGATTAAAAGTGAAATTAAACTTGGTAAACATAATTATATGTACAAAGTGACTGATCAGCTTTCTTTGCATACATCAATGCATTTAAAGTTTGAGCAAATTCTCGAAATTGCGAATAAATTTAAAATGTTTATTTTATCAGCCGTAGCTGGATCAGGAAAATCTCAAACATTTATGCAATTTGCGACTAGAATTAAAGAGAAATATCCAATGCGATGGATAACTTATATCGATTTGAAAGATTATAAGAATTTTGATTTAAATGTCACAAATTTACAAGATGTTCAGGAATTGCTCGAAAGATTTTTCAACCTTAGTTCTAAGAATGATTTTGAGAAAGCAATTTTTGATACTTTATTTGAGTCTGGAAATGTCATTTTATTATGGAATGGTTTTGATGAAATTGCCCCTACTTATAGCAATGCAGTCATGACAATCCTTAACATAATCAAGAATAATTCTAAAATTATTCAATTCATATGCACAAGACCTTTATATTCTGACCTATTGGGAAATAATTTACAATCTAAAACTTATACATTTCTTCCTTTCGAAAAAGAAGAACAGAAAAATTTTGTAAAACAGTTTTTCATTTCACAAAATTTTGATGAAAAAACAAAAAATTTTTCAGGTTATCTCGAAAAAGTTGAAAAAATTGTGATTTCAACGTCACCTGAAGTTGGTTTTGATACTCCACTAATGCTTTTAATGATTGCTGAACTGATTTTAAATGATGCTGATATTTATGAATCAGAAAATTTGTATGAAATTTATCGAAAATTTGCTGAGAAAAAATTTGAAATTTGGATGGAAAATGAATTTGCGAAAAGCTTCTTGAAAACAATTTTGCTCTCTGATTTTAACATGATGAAGCTTTATCAATCATATGCTATTAAAAATGAATTTTTAAGGAATGATAAATCTAAAATATACTTATTTAGATTAACTCTCATGAATCAAAAAATACCAGAAAATTTGACAAATGATGAAATATCTAGAATGGGAATTTTGCATATTAATGACAAAAGAAATTTTAAATTTACTCACAAAACATTTTCTGAATTCTTCGTTGTTCAATATTTGATTGATAATATTTACAATGCGCATGATGAACCTTCCGATGACGAAGCAGAATTAAGAATATGGTTATTTTTTGAATCAATCACACGTCCTGATATCAAAAGATTTATTAACGCTTTCTATAAAACTAAAAATGCAAACGAATCAAATCGTTTTGATTTGCAAATTGGAAAAGTTTTAAAGACAAAATTTAAGAAACTTTTATTCTATAACTTAGAACAATTTGATATAAATAAATTTATCTTTTTGCTTAATTTCTTTAAAAAAGATCGAAATGTTCTTAAGACTTTACTTCAAATTGATGAAAATGAAACATTTTATACTGCATTGTTCAATTTTGCCCATGTGGAATTTTTAAGGGAGGATAGATTATCGATTAAAAACATTTTGAAACCTTACTTGACTGACGATGAATTTAAGCAGTTAATTAATGGTAGAAATCAAAAAGGGATAATTTTATTTAGTGTTTATTGCTTAAGATATAAACAATATGTTGGCATTGACTTATCTCATGATACTTATAAACTAGATGATCAACTTCTAATTAGCACTGATCCATTTTATGTTTTTGAATCTATTGCAAAGAATTTAACCAAAGCAGAGTTAAAAGAACTTTTAGAATCAAAAATAGTTTCTGAATCTATTCAGTTACAAGATGGATCAAAACATGACATTTTCAATGATAAAATGTGGAATATAATTGAAAAATGTTTTAACAAATTTGAGCAAAAAGAAATCCTAGAAAATATTTTTCCTTATTTTGGCAGTCAAAATATTTTGAAATTCGTGCTTAGTAAGTTCAGCATTCTTTTCACTCGACATGAAATCATTACAATTTTCAACACTCATAAAAAAAAATTGATAAATTTTATTAAAAATGTATGAAAAAGTTTAATAAAAGTTTATAAAAATACATCTTGATAATTTTTACTAAAATTTGATAAGGGTTATTAAAAGTTTTGGTTTTACAAAATTGCATTCAAATTTTACAAAACCGTTAAAATTTTAATAATTTTCTTACTAAACTTTAGTAAAAAGTTATTAAGATGTATTTTTTATAATTTTTATTAAATTTGTTCATGGATTTTAGTAAAAAGTCATTAAAATTTCTTGGATTATTTTTTTTACAAAAACAGCTTTATAGTATAATTAATTTATAGTATGGAGCTTTTTCAAGTCTTAACTAAAATGCTTTCTCAAAGCTTAAGACTTTGCATGATTTTTGGCACTTAATGTGCCTCATAAGAAATTTATAATTTTATATGACTTTGTATGAGAACTAAGACATTCTTTTGTATAAGTCATTTCTTGGAGCGTTTGTGAAGTATATAAAATATATGAAAACCTTACAATTTTGGAAACCTACAACAGTTTTACAACGCTGTAGAATTTTAAAAACTTTTATTAAAATTTGATAAGTTTTATTAAAAGTTTGATAAGGTTTACTAAAATTTTAATAATTCTCATTAAAAACTTTTTAATAAGATTTTAGTAACAACTTATTAAAAATATTTTTATGAGTGAACAAATGTGATGTCTTATTTTATTCTTATAACAGGAACAACTTCAACATTTCATGGAATTTTCTCGTTAATCATACAACTCGAAAGCAACAAGAATCAATTTTAAAACAAACAAATTGGTGTTCATCAGTGTTTTCTCCAGTTCCAATGATTTTTAAATATAATTTACTTTCAATTTCATTTTTGTTCTATTATGAAAAATTTATATTTCCAGACATGACTAAAGTTTATGAATCCTATTTTAGTGTGAAAGAAATCCAGGAAATTATTCTTTCACTTCCATCTGATTACAATCTAAATCTTATTGCAATTGGATCATTCAAACGATTTGAAATGTTTGTTTTATATTTAAAAAAAATTTTCTTTGGCAACGAGGAAGTTTTGAACAAATTTCTAATGAGAAACATCGAACCAATGGATGTTAATATTTTAGAAATGTTGGAAGATTCAAATGTTGCTCCTAATGTAATTGAATCTGTATCTAATCTTTTGAATATAACGTCAAAAATGAGTTCTGTAGAGACATCATTGATTGAATTTAATTAAATGTTTAGGATTTAATATGCAATAAAATTATTTAAATATTTCAATAAATAAAATAACAATTTTAAATCAAATCCATAATTTTTTCACAACACACTGTACAGAATTGATTTGATATTTTCGTTCAAAATCAAATATTTCATTTTCAACTTATCAAGCCATGAACATTTGGCATATACGCCTTATCTCTTTACTATTCATTAAACATAAACGTTTTTAAAATAAACATATCATTACTTCTTTTGACAGATGATTTGCAAAAAAATGTGATTAAAGTTAACAATTAAATGACATAATGAGAAACATTTGAATGAGTTCACAAATCAATCAAATGAGGTTTGACGAATTGCTTATGGGAGGTAAGAAAGGTTGGAGATTTACGCACATACTTTTTATTATTTATGTAAATCTCGTGTTTTGGTTGCGGTTTTAAGTTTGATTTGTTTCGGAATTTGAATAGGAATGTTGTATTGTTGATTCATGAATTATTGAAGCCACATTTAGTGACTTAAAGCTGGTTTGTTAATTGGAGTAATTGACACTTTTTCATGCATTTGGATAGTAAAGTGATCTAAAATGTTTTTTTGGCGGTATCTAATTTCTTTATTTAACATTATTTAATTAAATCAGAGTTCAAAGACGATTAGAATCAATATTTATTTGATTCTTAGGTTGAATTGAGTATTCTTTCAACTATTCATGTAATTTAGAGTTCTAGATCTAAAAAAAAAAGATCTAAAATTTTAATAGTTTTCAATTGTCGTTCAATTTCAATTACGTTTCTTTGCTTTTCATTCTTAATGATAATTTTAAAGAGTGTCCTATATTCAATTTGATTGCAGTTTGAGTTTCAAAAAATAATTTCTTGATCTTCTTAAGGGTAATTCCATGAGTGAAAAAAATTTTGGTGCTCCAATTTTTCAAAAATATTTCCTTAACTAAGAACTTTGTACTCCAAATTGTAACTTTATTATGCTTATTAACACAATATTTATCTCCATATGTGAGAATTTCAAATCAGAAATATGTCTAATTCTTGTTTTTTTAATAAAAGTAAAATTAATCGGTCAAGTTTTCGAAAAATCGTTTTCTAAACATTTCCTAATATTTACTTAAATACACACTTCTATGTTCCAAAGTTACTTTTAACATATTAGATATTAGCCAGGCTTTTGTTTTATGTATAATTTGCATTCCTTAATGCTTTAATTAAGAAGAAAAACCAAAAAAATTAGCATTAATCGGTCAATTTTTGACCGATTATTGCAAAACAGAACACTGAAAAAATTTCAAATTCACAAAAACCATTAGATTTTCTTGATTTTACTTGTAAGTTTATTACATTTATTTGATTTAATTGAGCAAGTAACTAAAGTTTCAAAACATTAAAGATCATGTATATTTGAACCATCTCTCTTTGATGGAATTGCGGCTAATTCACTCGAATAAACAACAAAACGTTTAGAAATTATAACGGTTTTGGGAAATTTGAATTTTTACAAGTAGAGAAATATTGCATAGTGCTTTTTCACAGTTCCCATTACTCATGGAATTACCCTTAATCGACTTTTTTAATCTCCACAACTCACGCACAAAGTTGATCAAATAAACTTCGACAAATTGATTCCGTCTAAGCTTTTACTTTATTGCTCTCAAATCCATCCAAATATGATAGCATCGAATTCCAAAACTGTCAAATGTCATTGAAGCAATTTAAAACTAATAAAGACCACAGCCAAATCAGATCTAATTTTTTGATTTACATGTGACTTTTAAAAGTTTTTCTTGTTTATTCAAATTAGCTAAAACTCCGAAACTTTCATAAGACCAATGACTTTATTTCTCTGTGTAAACACATAATAACTTATTTAGCATTGATTTTTGCGCAGATTATAGTCCAAATCACGACTGTGCTTATTATTTTATTGAAACAATTTAAGTTCCTTTCATTTAAATTATATATCGCACAAAAATCAAAAAGATTTGCACACGAATGTTTTAATTTAAAATGAGACTTAGTCTAATTGATATTTCAAAAATAAAATTATTAATATTTTGTAGATTTTTCTTCATTATTTCTCGAGCATTTGCAATATTGATGTTTGACATAAATGACAAAACTGTTTCAATCACGTATTGATGTGCACGCAACATTCAATTTCTTTACGACCTCGTAGACGGCGACCATTTATGATCATTTTGAAATATTTATGCATGGAAAATATGAAGTGAATTGAATTGAATTATTGAGCATGACTAAAATATCAATAAATGTGTGTATTTATTTTTTTTCTGTTATTTCAGGAGATATTTTTTCCATGTGAATACATAATTTCTATTTTCGGTCATTTTTAATTGATAATAATCGATTCCAATAAAATTGAGATTGTTGAAATTCTTTAATTAAAAATTATTCCATGGGAAAATATTTTTAAAATTGTTGATTAATAATTAAAATGTTGCAAGTTATTAATAAAATATCATATTTAATTTTATTGAGTTGTGGCTTAGATGTAATGAAAGATTTCATTTGTAACTTAGTTTTGGTTAATCTACAATTCAATTTATAAAAACTATTTTAAGAAGCTTAACAGAACCACAACTCAAACTATTATTCTGCTCTAAACAGGATCTTAATTATTATTATTGATGTTGAGAATCTTAAACAATTTCAATTCCTATGTTCAATTGAATCCAGCAATTTTCAAATTATCTTCCTCAATTTCTTTAGTCAACGTGCCATAAATTTTTGCTAGACCATAAAAAATTACCAAATTTCATAGTCTAGACGAAAAGTTAAATGATTCCATCAAAAACTTTAAAATACCACTTAATTAATGTCAGATGCAGAAGCTGCTGTGCTCAACATCATTCATTTAAAACATCTGAAGGCAATTCAGCTGATATTTACAAACACAAGCCACAACTTCCCGCACTAAACTTCTGGTATTTCCTAAAATTTCTATGCATCAATTAGGAACACATCAATCTATTTTTATAGCTTCTTATTTAGGCCTGTACAAATCATCTCAAGCTTTATTGCTACATTAAAAAAATCATATTGATTAACGAGATTTATAGTTTTATTGATCTGATCTTTTAAATCGTTAAAAATTGATGAAAGGAGTTTAATTTTTTTTTGCAATGATTCATCAATAAAATTAGTAAATCTCTTAATGGTGCTCTATTTAGATAAATATTTTGATTGTTTATTGGTTTAATTTTGATTAAAACTTGTGTTGATGAATGAAAAACTTGAGATTTGGTGAAAGCGGAAGAAATAAACAAAATTAAATGAAGATGAATTTGAATTAGAATTTGTTTGTTGATTTGTTTTATAAATTGAAAGCTTCTCTTCCTGGATTGTTATTTTTTTTGGATTGATATGAATCAGACTTGGTTTGAGTCACCTTCAAGTTTTCAGAAGACTGTAGAAACCTATTTTTAATTGAAGTAGAGCTGTTGGCTACGAAAGATGAACAATTGGGTGAGCTGAGCTAGATTCGAATCGGATCTACAGTTTGAAAGAACAATGAGAAAGTTAATTCTTTAAATTAAGCTTAGGGCTCATGGTCATCTGGCAGAAAGTAATTCCTAGGAATTCCTGTTACTTTACGTAAGATTTTACAAGGAAAACGTAGGAATTTCCTATAGGAAATCCTAGGAATTCCTTGAAAATTCATACGCAAAGTAACAGGAATAATTAAACAAGTTAATGAAAAAGTACAAAAATTAGGAATTTCAACATGGTTTAGCAATTAAGAAATTTTACCGCATTTTTGAAACTTGTTTCTTAAAGGTAGCTTATTAGTACACTTTGTTCGGTTGTTCGGCTGATCGGGCGAAGAAAAACTTTTTAACGGTTTTTAAGCATGCTCGGGTTTGTTCAATCAGCTCAGTTCTTTCGAGTTATTGACCGAACGAATATTTTTGAAGCATAAAACAATATATAACACCAGGACTTTTTCCAATTTTTTAATAGGCACTCGTTAGTTTATTGCAAATCTTAACATTAACAAGAAATAAAAGTAAATATCTTTAATAAAATTCCTAGAAATTTGTAAGGATCCTAAGGATCCTTAGCAAATTCTTCAGTATTAGGAAATTCCTTGAAGAATTCATTTTATATCCTTAGGAATATACTTAGGAATCTTAGGATCCTTAGTAAATTTTACAAATAGTAAGGAAATTCCTTGAAGAATTCATTTAATATTCCTTGAAGAATTCATTTAATATACTTAGCAATCTTAGGATCCTTAGTAAATTCTACAGATAGTAAGGAAATTCCTTTAAGAATTCATTTAATATTCCTTGAAGAATTCATTTAATATACTTAGGAATCTTAGTATCCTTAGTAAATTCTACAAATAGTAAGGAAATTCCTTTAAGAATTCATTTAATATTCCTTGAAGAATTCATTTAATATACTTAGGAATCTTAGGATCCTTAGTAAATTCTACAAATAGTAAGGAAATTCCTTTAAGAATTCATTTAATATTCCTTGAAGAATTCATTTAATATACTTAGGAATCTTAGGATCCTTAGTAAATTCTACAGATAGTAAGGAAATTCCTTTAAGAATTCATTTAATATTCCTTGAAGAATTCATTTAATATACTTAGCAATCTTAGGATCCTTAGTAAATTCTACAGATAGTAAGGAAATTCCTTTAAGAATTCATTTAATATTCCTTGAAGAATTCATTTAATATACTTAGGAATCTTAGTATCCTTAGTAAATTCTACAAATAGTAAGGAAATTCCTTTAAGAATTCATTTAATATTCCTTGAAGAATTCATTTAATATACTTAGGAATCTTAGTATCCTTAGTAAATTCTACAAATAGTAAGGAAATTCCTTTAAGAATTCATTTAATATTCCTTGAAGAATTCATTTAATATACTTAGGAATCTTAGTATCCTTAGTAAATTCTACAAATAGTAAGGAAATTCCTTTAAGAATTCATTTAATATTCCTTGAAGAATTCATTTAATATACTTAGGAATCTTAGGATCCTTAGTAAATTCTACAGATAGTAAGGAAATTCCTTTAAGAATTCATTTAATATTCCTTGAAGAATTCATTCAATATACTTAGCAATCTAAGGATCCTTAGTAAATTCTACAAATAGTAAGGAAATTCCTTGAAGAATTCATTTAATATACTTAGGAATCTTAGGAACTTCTAGGATTTTGAGGAAATTCCTCCAAGATTTAATGAGCTATCCTAGGAAATCCTAGTATATACTAGGAAATCATAGTAATCATTTAAAAATTTTAGTTCCTAAAATAAGGTCCCTAGGAATTACTAGGATTTTCCAAAATTCCTAGTATTTCCTAGGAATTCCTAGGAGCCTACGTAAATCTCTACGTAAAAATTCCTAGGAACTACGTAAATTCCTAGGAATTCCTAGGATTTACTTTCTGCCAGATGTCCAACACCCTTCAAGACTATTAAGATTATTAAGTTTATAACATGATTTACACTGTTAAGCTTAACAATAAAGTATTAATGAGTAGCTTCTACCTAATGATCTTAAAGGTTCTTCTAATAAAAGAATTTGTGAAACTGAAATCTACAAAACGTGAAATCTGAAATTTTAAATAATGAAGAAAAAAAAAGATTAAATAATTTTATTATTATTGAATACTTTTATTCTCAAAAATGCTTCAAATGTACTTAATTACAAATGTTTGCATGTGTTTTTAACAAGAATACCATATTTCGATGATGTTGCATTTCCATCATTTTTATTTATTTTTTTCATTTATTGTGTGTACGATCTTTTTGCTTAATATTTTCGACAGAAATAAATCTTAGCTTTAATATTGAGTAATATGATTTTTTTTTAAATTTAAGAATTTCAACTCTGAGTTAATTCGGTTGCTGTATCTCATAATCAATCGTTGATCTCTCATTAATTTGTTTCCAACCACCAAAGTATAATAATTTACTACATTCTTCATTTCTATTTAACATAAATAATCAATTCTTATTTTCTGGATATTAAATATTACTCAACAAGCATATTGTCTAAAACTTTATTAATTTTTTTTGAAATGCACATTTTCTGATGCATTTTGTTCATCATTATTTTTTTACTGTTCGTATAAAAAATTGTGTGAATAATAATAATTCAATTATGATATAAATTTTACTGATCACTAACATTAACATTGCACATTAAAACCCCGATAATGAATTATATCATAAAATTTAATTGTTTCAACAAAGTTTTTTTTTGTTCGTGTGTTAGAAGATCTCTAGTTTCATTATAGATTTTTCGGGAAATGTTTTTGTGAAAGATTTTTTTTAAAGGAAATTAAAATTAATTGAAAATGTTTTTAAATAATAAAATTATTATAAAGAAAATCACATTAGGAGGAAGTAGATCAAAATAGATCAAATAATAGTCAACGGTGGGTGTTTGGGTTGTCTTTTTGAGAATTGGGTGTGTTAAAAAGAGGGAGCTTTTATCTTTTAAGGAGCCGTTTACTTATGACGTCCAGAGGGGGTCAGCAACAAAAGAACAATAGAAATTCCTGGAAATCCATTGTTCTTTTTTAAAAAATGACCGTTAATTTTGGACGTCATAAGTGACGTCTAAGTGGAATTTTTTAAAATTTATTCTGAATTTTGATATGATTCTGAACTCTTAAAACTCTGCCAATCTTCAAAGGCGCCTCAATATTGTAAATTTTTGAAGAAATGCTTTTTGAACACCATTAAAAAATTCAAAATGTGTTCCTTAAAAGGACCACAAGACCCTGTAGCTAAGCTCCTTTCATTTACAAACCTTAAGGATTCAAAAACTCCCTGCAAAGCAACAAACAAGCTCATTATAGAGGATCTATATAATCCTTTTCAAACAACACCTGTGCCCCCCAAAAAGACACCCAAATCCACTGTAATTTTCACAGAAAAAAAAAATTTCATTTTAGTCACAAAAAAGTTAAAAAGTAATAAGGAGTTGGAAACAAATTACAAGTTTTGTAAGCAGTAGTCATATATCTGAATATATATACCCTTAAAATTCGATGATCTTAATCCATTAATTGTTTAATATTTGTATCTAGCATACAAAAATTTTCTAATTTGAAGAAAATCTGGGATTTTTTTTTCTCAAACTCTCTTCAATTCTGCTCATTTCCTTTCTTTCTTTTATCATCCACGCGTCTACGTGGTTTATGTAAATTAAATTAAGTGTATGTGTAAATTAACTATATCAAAAAAAAAATGCGATTAATGATTAATATTGCAGTCATATTTCGATATTTTGATTATCGATTTAATTATTATTAATATTATTATTATTATTATTATTACCATTATATTAATAATTAATATTAACGATAGAGCATGTATGTCTTGTAGAAAATAGGAATGTTTTAATGGAAGATGAAAGTTACGTAAGTATAGAAATATCCTATAAATCCCTTATTGTCTCTGTCTTTTTCTCTTCTGTTTCAAATCACTTTGTGTCTTTTTTTTTGGGGAAGATTTGGAATTGGTTTTGGAAGTCCTTTGATGGATATGACATGTTTTCTAATGTGTTCTATAAGTATGATTGAAGAAAGCAATAAGCAACCTTAGTAATTGCATTATCATAGATATAATGCCTCAATAGTAAGGTTAAGCATTAAAGTCATCACATCCATCCAAAACTTTCAAAACAAACCACAAATCTTCCCAAAAAAAAGCTTCATCTTACAGGATAATTTATAGCTGAGTTTATAAAATTTTTAAATTTCTAAATGATAATAAAAAAATTGGTTGAATCAGCCTTTTTTGGAGAATAAAAAAAAAATTATTAATATTAAATTAATATATTTGAGAAAAAGCAATTCTATACTATTAAATGCAAAAATCTCTCTTTCAGAGTCTCAAAATTATTTCTTTTTTCTCATGTTAAAAAAAAGATAATATTTCTAGTATTGATTGCGAGTAACATAATCATAATTAAAGTATACACGAAAAGCAAGGAGAATGTTTTTTTTTTTGGAAGATCCTGATGAAATTTTTTATTATAAATTAAGTTTTTTTTTTGTTTGTAGAAGGAAGATCAGCTCAGTTTTGAACAGGCATTGGGAATGATCCGAGGAGGTTGTTAGCGAATGTTGAGTTTGTAAACTTAAAGTGACGCTTATCGTAAAATTTTAGCAGTGCTGGTGAGTAAGGATGCTTATCTTTAAGATGAATATAATGAACTTCTGGTTCATTTGTTGTGTGTCCGCATTCTTCACAAACGTACATCTGAAAGGATTAAAAGGATTAATATTCAGTACGAATTTGATTGAATTTTGGGTTTTTTGGTTGATTTAGGTTTTGATATTTATTAGATAATGCTGGATTAAGTCTATACTGTCGATTCTGATCAAAATGATTATGAATCATCACTTTAACTACATTTAAAGTCAAAAATAACCAAAATCGTTCATTTGTTCGTAAGATCCGAACCTCATCAGCTAATCTTAATCAAAAACCACACCAAAACAATCACAGAACATCATTCTCACCTTCGTGCGTCGTTCCTTATAGGCATACTGATGCTGAACACCATGAACTTTCAAGCAGTGAGATTCAAGCGAACATCTCTGTGTGAATGACTTTTCACATAAATTGCACTTGTAGGGACGAACGCCGGTGTGAGTTCTTGTATGTCGTTTCAAATCAAATGTGTCATTAAATCCCTTTCCGCAGAATGTACACAAGTATCTCTTAATATCCGAGTGACATTTCATATGTCGGTTTAATAATCGTTGTAATGTAAAATGCTTTGAGCAAATGCGACACATAAACTTTCCTTCTCCGTCATCGGAAACTGGCGTTACGGACGGTGTCTTCTTAATTGGTGGAGCTTCCTCTTCTCGTAAACGTCCGGGAATGTTTTCAATTGCCAATGGATTTTTAATTCCATGACCACCGTTGACAAATTCCAATTGCACTTCAGCTGGAAGTCCCAACTAGAAATTAATATAATTTTTTTATTAATTAAAAATGATGACAGGAATAATTCTTAAAAAAATTGTAAGTAATTATTTTGTTCCTTAACACCAAGCAAATTAGCAAGTTAAAATTAAAAATCAAATTTGAAATTCGTTCGATGAAGTTGAAATAACGGAAAAATAAAATTCAAAAATTAAATGTTAAATCAAAAGCTCGTAAGAAGCTCACTTTGTCTTAAAAGCTTCTTATAGCTTAAAGTTTTGTGCATATAAAGTTTGATAGGAAATAAAGTGGAAAATGAAACAAGACAGAAAGATAGAAAAAAGTTCAAATTTGAAGATCAATCATAAAAACTTGCTTACCCGTTGACTTAGGACATTAACTTTAGTATCCGCAACTAGCGGTGATTCCGGAACCGTTGAGACCGTAAGTAAACTACTCAATTTTGCAGCTGCTGATAACCGACGATTAAACTTTAACGATTTACTTACATTTTGGATTGTTGAGATTGCATTTGGTGGTGATGGAGTTCCGGATGATGATTGTAATGACTGCATATCACTACCATTCATATTATGATGATTCTGTTGTGGCGAGTGTGTTGGATCATAATGTGATGTACTGGGTGATGGAAGTGACAAATTGCTACTGTGCGAATCAAGATCGAATCCATTATTTTGCACATGCTGTTGCTGTTGTAGCATTGAATTATGAAGATTTCCATTGTGTTCTCTTGTCGTTGTCTGATAAGGTGGTGGAAGCTCATAGACAGATGATGATGATGATGGTGGTGAGGATTTATAAAATAATTGACGACTATTTTGGAATCCGTTATTACGTCCACCAATCAACTGATCTTGAAATGAGTCCAAATTATTATTGTGATGATGATGGTGATGATGATGATGATGATCGCCATTTGAGTCAGGCGTAAGTGATGATGCTGATGATAATTCGAGTTCATTGCACTGATCGTCTTCAGTCGGTAATCTTTGTAAGAATTGCGATAAGTCTACAGCATCAGTTAAGCTTTCAAGTAAAGCATGATCATTGGGTGATGAGAATGTCAATGTTGCTGTTAATTGTAATGGATCGACTGCATTCGATAAGTCAACCATCATTGAGTCACTATATGCATCACCATAATTTTGCAATAAGTTTCCATTCAACGACAATGTATCAATCTTTCCATCATAGTCCAAATCAATCTCATCTTTAAGAATCATTCCATTTTGTAAGTATGCATTTTGAAGTACGGAGTATTGTTTTGTGTCGGCATCTTGTGGACTATTCGGATATCCATTGAGATTTGTCAGATCGCCATTTGCATCAACACAATCCATTTGAGTGAGTGATGGATTAAGTAAGTAATTATTGAATGAGTTTGCATTCATTCCATTTTGTGCATTATATGCATTAAGACCTCCATTTGCGCCGCCTTTTAAACTCTCGTAAAATGGTGGCAATGAACCTGTTGGTGGACTATTCGGACCATAATTTGATCGATTATTATCACGACCATTTCCTCCAGCACCACTTGCGCCACCTGCAGCCCCGCTACCACATCCTGCTGATGCACCAGAAAAATTTATTGAACCGCCAGACGAGCCATTTGAGGCAGCTCCATTTGATCCATTCGCTTGTCCACCACCATTATTTGATGATGATGATCGACCATGTCCTGCAGCTGCATAAATAATTCCAGCCAATTGTCGTATCATTGGACTTCCTGGCGGTAATCTACGAATACGTTGAAGCAATGCTCGTTGGAAAATGACTCGCTTTGCATCATGCATTCGCTTCTCGCGCTCTTCCATCACATCAAATCTCTTAATCTTCTTATCTTCTTCCTCTTCACTACCAATCAGGTCTTTTCGTTTAATTGGTGAAACCAAGTCACGTTTTTTTGGTACATGATAATCGATTGGATGCTCTTGTTCAGGTAGAACAAATGGTGACATTGTCTGATGTAATCGATGTTGATGAATTGATGCTGGATGTCGATGTCTCATCATAATTGGAAGATGTGAATTGTGTTGTGGTCGATCATCATTTTTGTGATGTAAAATTGTCGCTGTTGGTTCTGTGATGGGCGGTGAAGGTGTTGTGGGATGTGATGAGCTTGAAGATGGAGTTGATGGAACGCGTTGAATGACTGAGCATCTCACCACTACTGGTTCTTGTGTTTCTTCATTTTGTGGCTCCTCAGCCTTTTTCTGTGTTGTTAAATTTATGAGATTAGGTTCTGGTAAAATTTGTGGCGGTTCCTTAATAATGTCCTCGCCATTATTTGTTGGTGCTGTTATTTTTGTTAAATCACTTGGGCTACCGCATATTAATGTTGGAGGTGATGGTGGATACACTTTGCGTTGTGCTTGTGTAAGAACAGATCTTTGTGATCCATATGGAATATCAATTCCAAGTAGTGATGACCTGAAGCGACGTGGTGCTTGATCAATACTACATCTTGTTGTCTCTCCAAATATGTCTTCTGTAAGGGCATGAAAAAAAAAATGAGAAATTCATTAATTAAATTTCACCTACGCTTTAATGCATATTCAATACATTATTTACGTTCATAAATATCTATAACAGTTTCGCATTACAATGACCATTAAAAAAATATATTATGCAATTTAAGCTTGAGCTCGAACTTGAAAAAAAAAAGTTAATGATATATTCGAGGAGCAATATTAAGTGCATATGCATCAATACATTCAAATAGATATTCTCTTTCTCTTCGTTCTTATAGTCACATATATCTTCAATTCAAAGCACATAAAACCTGTTTTAATTTCATTCTTACATACATATACAAGATGAAACTTTATGTCCCGCTTTGAGTCCAACAACTCATCTGTATATGTGAGTTTTACGGGCTTCGGACAGTAAGCAAACAAAAAGTAAGGTATAATAACAATAAAAAAGAGATGTGAAAAAATGTGAAGAACAGCAAAAAAAACTCTATATATAGCTGTACAAATAGTAGAGAGACAAACTGTTGCTTTTCGTTCAAGAAAGGAAAAAATAAGTCTTGAAAGTATTAAGGCACACCACACATGCATATTTGTGTTTGATTATTTATACTCATGTATGGGAATGTATGTAGAAGTAGCAATAGCAATGTTATGAACATGACTGTGACCTAACGAAATATAAAAACGTAACATTAACATTGAAATGGAACTGGAAAATTACATTTTTATAACAATAAATAAATATATATGTAGTCATACACATAAGATAGCTATAAAGATTGTTACTGAGCATTTATTTTGTTGTATAATCGCGATTTTAATTTCGCGAGATCTGATTCTTAAAAAATTACAGCTTTGTTAATTAGTCACTCACGTAATTTATATGAATCGATTTCATTTGTTGTATTGTCATCTAACGGAATTCCTTAATTTTTTAAGATTCTCAATTTTCATTAGCTTATGTTAAATTTTGTTAAATCGATCGTGATTACATCTAATGTTCCTTTTTAATTAGAATTCAACGGTGTTTTGTTTTTTTAGGGGAATCGATTTTTATGACTTGACATCTCATTACTTAATTGCAACAAAATTATTACGAAGTATCCAAATCAGACCCCTCAACAACTTTTAATTATATCGCTCCAATTAAATCTACAAAAGCTTATTCCTTAACATAAAAAAATAATACAAAAAACCGCAATGATTACAATCATAACGAGCTGAAAATGTACACAAATTAATCTACAAGCATGATCACGATATTCACCTAGAATCAACAGTTGTTTAATCACATGATTTTATAGGAAGGACACAATTTCAATGGCCTGTGTGCTTTTATTTTTCTAGATCAGATTTATGAGCTTTAATGATACGTTTTAGAGCTAAAACAGTCTGAAGGCGCATTTTATTCCTTTCTAATCTACAGTCTAAATCAGTGTTGTCCAAACTGTGTGCTAAGGCACACTGATGAGCCGTAGAACATCCTTAAGCGTGACGTGAAAAAATATCTAAAGTCAAATTGTGCCGTGGCTGAAAAAAGTTTGGACAACACTGGTCTAAATGGATATTAAGCTTTGTTATCAAGTTTTCAAGACGCAATTAAAAAATTACCATGACCATAAAATCTCAAGAATTTGTAGAATTCAGGATTTGTGCAGTCGTAAAAAAGTCTCTCAATAGCTTAACAGTTATTTTTAGCGAATTATATTAAAAATTCATATGACTATTTACGTGACTCCTTTGTCTACCCAAATATCATTCCTAAAATGACTTGCTGTTGGACTTCATGTCTGGTTTAACTCGATTTTTTTTCGACAACACACTTTGATTTGAGTTTTTGATATTTGATTTGAAATGATTTGAGTTCAATGGATAGATTCAAGGTTTTCTGAGTTCATTCATTGAGTTTGGATTGGTTTGGTATTTGGAGGTATGGATGTTTTGTGGAATATTCATAATTTTGATGTTCTTAAATTTTTCAAATTCATAAAATAATTGATTGTCCATTAATAGCGATTGACTTAAGTTCTTCAAATTCAAAAATTATGCAAATTTCTATTTTTAGCCCCTGATTATGCCCTTAAAATTCAAATCCAGTAGTAAATTTCCACTAGAACAAGTACTCATAGTCAATTTAGCAAAGCGATTGAGCCAATGAGTCAGTAAGTCAAGGAGTAAATGATTCAGTAAATTAGTTCTTTAATGAACCAATAAATGTTTAAGTGAGTAAACGAATTAATGTATTTTTATGACGTGGTAGCTAAGTGCCTCATTTTGGAACAGAAATGAGTAATTATGTTGAATAATCTATTAAGTTACATGGATTTAGATACGGAAATTTTTTGGATTTCTATGAATCGTACAGTTTTGCAGGCTTATTGAGTAAATAAATATGGCTGCACACTGAACTGAGCACTGAAGTGTGCTTCTGATATGGATTAGCTAGTTTAAGGGATGATCAACTACACTAGAGACTCAAAATAGACAAATGACAGTCAAATTGGATCTAAAAAGGATCTTTCTGATCATTTACATGCATGTGATCAATAGAATTGCTTAGAACAAAATTGTTGAGAAGCTCAAACATCCTAAGACCCATCCACATGTCCTTATAGCTTCTATATTGATTGCAAATGAATCTGTGGCGTCAATAGGGTTATGACATCCCCTTTAATCATCCAGTCAGTCAAACTGATTATCAAAACGAATCAATTCCTTCATAAATACGCAAAAACATAGCGTATGAGTAATTGAAGGTGCGGCTAAATAATTAAAATTACTTAAATTGTATTCCTCTATGATATTATTAAGTATAAACTCACAGATCGTGATTTGTAAGTTAATCATGTTATGATATACATAACTAATATTTTGTTAGCTCCAATTATATCTGCCATACTCGCATGCGAATCCATCAATTTTTACTTCTAATTCTAAAACGAATGCCAAAAAAAGATGATGGAAATAAAAATCTGCAAAACGCCTTGACATTGAAAAATCCTTTACGTCTAACGTATGGAATGGTTCATTAACATCTATCGCAAACAAAACACGTTCTATTTGTGAATCAGTTTTGAAGGTCATAGAGTTCTTTGGCTATATCCAGTTCGATAAAATAAATAACGTACATAAAACTTAAAGAAATAGCGTTCAACAATTTTTATTTTATTTTATTTTATGCAAATGATACACCAACCAAAAAAAGAAAACAAAATCGTCAGTGCTATCATCATAAAAGCAGCTAATTTATTCAATCGCAATTTCCATAGCATTTAAAAAGCCGAACGATCGCGAGCACATTGTCACCTTTTTGAAAGTTTTTATTTTCTGTATTTCCATTCAGCTGTTGTTGTTTGCATTGAGCAAACATGTTTCACTGCTGAAATGATAACGGTGATTTTGGGATGTGTTATTTTTTTTCGCATATTAGAGGTTAAGGGCATCATTTCAGTTCTATCAAGGTCACGCGTTGTTTATCATCGATTGGCAGCTCATTTAATACGCAAAAATAAAAAAGAATATGATTCATACATCCGACGAGTGTCGACCTATTTTCTACATTTCCATAATATAAATTGTTTTGCTAATTTACTTTTTTAAATAGTCATCGAGAGCCTCAAAAAGGGTCTTTTTGTCATAAAACAGTCAATCAATCGGAAATTCCATAAACGTGCTTTGTAATTAAGTAGAGGTAAAAATCAGTTCCATTTTTAGAAAGTGAATTATTGACGCATTGCAGTTAATTTTTCATATACAATAAAGTCCTTCGTTGTCATTTCTTGCTTCCCCGTTGAGTACGAGAAAAATATTTTTCTCACACATATTGTCGTGATAGATGGAGGCTAGTACATATTCAGCCTTTTTTTTGCGCTACATCATTCACACGTTGATGAGAATTGATTACACAAATTTATGCAATATAGCCGAGTGAGTTTGTGTAAACATCAATTTATATTCTTGCTCTGTTATTTATGTCACTTTAAAGGTATAGACTTTATGGGGTGGCTAGAGTTGGTGCCTTGGAGGGGTTTGGAAAATTATTTTATTTGAATTCTTGGGGATTTAATTTTAGTCATTTTATCAATTACCTTCAGTATAATATCTGATTTAAAACCGACAGGTTGATATCAGAATATTGTCATTTCTGTTCCGCCTTAAACCATTGAATTAAATAAAGGATTATTATTATTAATTGTAGTTTTGGAAGCAAATGTCAGGAAAATGTAAAAATTTAAATTTTGAATATTAAAAATTAGCTGTTTGCATTCCACCAATAACTGCAGAATTTAATTAGGTTCAGTTAAGTTCAATAATGTTCAATTAGACTTAACTAGGTTCAAAATGGTTCAATTATGTTCAATTAGGTTGAAATATGTTCAATCGGGTTTAATTCGGTTCAATCAGGTTCAATCAGATTCAATTGGGTTCAAACAGGTCACATTAGGTTCAATTAGGTTCAATTAGGTCCCATTCGGTTCAATCCAGTTTAATCCAGTTCAATCCTCAATAATTGACGACATCCCACAACCTAGTCATCCCTAAAATACTGCAATCTTAAACGAAATTACGAAAGAAAGGAAAAAAGCAATCTAGTGTCAATAGACACAGAAACTCATCAACTTCGTCATCATGTGCTAATGTGATGAAATAAAGTAAAAAATACACACAAAAGCTGCTTAATTAAACATTCAATGGAGACAATTTCTTTTTTACTTCTCCTATATCTCTTTCGTATTTTTTTTTTGTTTCCATATTAACACAAGTTTATTTATTTTTTATTTTGCAAAATTCCCGGTCACACTTAACGGTTCTTTCGGTATTTTTATGATGGACTCACTCTCCTGTGGAATGAGGTGTGCGCACTATTGGTGAATTAGAAAGGCCTTCCACATGCATGTAGAACTTAAGAATGCAATTAGGAGGTGCATTGAATTGTATTTTTATGAGATATTAATGACATGGAAATATTTTCATGCATGTTTAAATACAAAAGACCTGAACGACTCTAATAGTA